AAAATTCATATAAATGCAAAAATGGTTCCTTTAGAGGAACGCCTAGGTATTTTGGAGATTCAGTGACTTACAGTACAACCATATCAACAGCCTGGTATCAAGACAGATGCTGTAAAAAAAAAAAAAAAGCTCGACAAATTAACTAAATCAATTGTCTAGTTCACAGAAACCAAATATTCTCTGATGTATTTTATCTTATTGATTTCAACAATATTTTCTACTTCAATAGATAGAGTTGATGCACTGACCATCAGTAAAAAAAAAGTTTGAAATGTTGAAAAGCTCATTTATTGTTCAGTATTTTTTATTCGCATATCTAGGGATGACAATTTTCTTTCTCTCATTGTAAGTCATGAGGACAATGTGAGGGTGGTGCTTGATGTAATTGGATGTATTATGTATTTTAATATATTGTGTATTTATCTGTATTATGAATATGGATATATGATATATTTGGACGTTAGAACTTTAATGTATGATGAATTTGGACGTTTGCAGAATTTGAACATACAATGTATTTGAACATACAATGTATTTGGACATATGATGTATTTGGACATATAATGTATTTGGACATATGATGTATTTTGATATATGATGTATATTGACGTATATGATGTTTTTGGAGGTATGATTTTTTGGACGTGTGATGTATTTGGGCAAATGATGTATTTTTGGACAAATGATGCACTTTGACATATGATGTATTTAGACGTATGGTGCATTTTGACATATGATGTATTTGGACATACAATGTATTTAGATTTATTATGTATTTTGAGATAATGAATTAATTATTGCAAAGTTGCATTCACTGCTGGATGTATTTTGTACTGAATTCTTTTAGTTTGTTATCATCACATTATTGTATTTCTGAACAAAAAAAAATGAGAAAGGAAAAATGAAAGAATGAAAAGATCGAAAAAAAGAAGAGTATTGAAAGAAATATGGCTCATAATGATTAATATTCCCACTGAGTTCTACATCATAAAAAGTCTAATGAGCAGCATTAGAGCCGTATTACTGTGTACTTCAAAGCAACTTTTGAAGCGCTGTTTCAGATTTCTTTCTTTGTTATTGATTTGGTTTTACTTGGTTTAACGTATCCTAGCCTCTCGGATCATTAGTGAGGAGTTGATTTAATTAACGATTTCAGTTTCTATGTTTTTCTAAAGAAACATGACAAGAGGGTTAAGTTGTGTTGAGTTTTCCTGCTGAAGGAGATTAAACCATGTTTAAGTTTAAATATGTTCTGCAACTGTCAAACACTATTAGATTAATTCCAGTTGATGTATTGTTTTTCTTTACAGATATCAGTCAAAGGGTTTTTTCTCAATGTCATTGTTTGAATGTCAGAATGGTGGGAAAGAAAATGAATTGTGATTTGTAAACAGACAAATAATGTGGTGAAACATATACACATTGATAGTTCAAAGGTTGTCCAAAAATTTCTGTTCCTTATTTTATTCATGCTACAGAGTTTAAAAGGTGGGAGGTTGCCTTGAGGTTGTCACCTGGATATTTAAATGTGATAGAAAATATTGATAAATTAGATAAAACTGTCTTATACCCTGAAATGATTTAATAAGAAATGTATTTATTTTATCTTTGAACACAGATTCCTTGAGATTATGTGAACATTGACATAAACTTTCTGTGATATTATCACCTGAATTTAATTTATATATAAATCATTGTTTTATGGTTCGTGCTTGACATATGAAAGGAGTCAATCTGTTTTTTACACTGATACTGGGCACTTAAATTCTATTCTGTTAAAGATCATTTTCTTTGTTCTATCTATGTTAATGGTCTTTCTGTCTAATGGTATTTGTATCCACTCTATGCCACTTAATCTTGTATAAGAATGTATATTAGAATATTACTTGTTATGCCATTCTTATTGTGTTTGAAAATTAACTTAACATTACATCAAAAACAACAAGTTCTGTAGTAATATTTACTGGATACTGTGAACTTCTGGTGTCGGAGACCTTACACATCACCATCTGTGATCTAACCACCTTAAAGTGTATATGAGAGTGTATATTAGAATATTAGTTGTTATTCCATTGTTATTGTGTTTGACTAAAAATTAAAATCATTACATTCATTATATTAGATAGGAATCGATCTGGCCTGGTATTGACATTGATATATTCTGTGTAAACATGACTTTAAGTATCGTCTGTTCGCCATACTTGGATATTAATTGGTGTCTTGCACCAGACGGACAAATCAAGAATAAGTTGTATTATTGAACTATCACTCAAGCTTATGTGAACTGTCAGGTTCCGTGTACAAGACGTCTGTGTTTCTGATGATAATTATAAGTCCATCCTAGAACAAGATTGGTGAATAATTTTTGAAAATTTGAACAATTCAAGTTTTAATTTCACAGGATAAGATTATTTTGTTGTATATTTTAAGTGTAAAAGTTTTTTTTATAATAATTTGTGGAAAAAAATGACAATCTTTTTTTCAATAACACCTTCAATGTTCAAAAACAGCAGATGATTTGATAAAACTGTAATATGTATGAAAAATAGAAGATGGTGGTTTACATATTTCCACAAATTTTAATTGAAGAGCTCAAGTGAAATCTGATCTAGAGTTTGTCATCTTCTCAGATATTTGCTAATGCTGTTAGTTACCAGGAAATAATTAAGAAGAATTCTCTCTAAATAATGTTCTAGGAACCACTGTATTATGTTACCCAGGAATCAATAAGGTTTGTGTCCATGTCAAGTGTCTGAAAACTGTTCATGATATTCAGTATTAAACAGAACTTTTTGAGAAGTACCAAACTATGTTTTGAACATAATATATTTGATAAAATGATTATTTCATCAATTATTGGAAATAATAGATAATAATAATGCAGTAACATTAACAAAAGAGAGAAAGTTAATAAATGAGTGCATACAACATTTCAACAATTAACATTGTCAATTGAAAGTGACAGGAATTATAGGGAAATGATCTACAGATAAATCTAAATCCTAAAATCTTGTTATTGGTGGATTTTTGAAGGTGACTATAGTAATCTGTGAATGAATTCAAGTATAAAATGGAAACTGTATGTGAGTTAACAGAATGGAGTATATGTTATCAGGTAAACCTATGAATTTATGATTTGACTTTAATATTTAGCATAAAATATTGATTACTGCATTATTCAGCATCAAATAACCATTAGGATTCTTGAAATGTAGTGCAAATCATTCATGCATATATGCATTCCTTTTTCCTCAATATTTTAGTCAATTTCACTATCAGAGAGGGTGAAAATATATCAAAATTTCCAAAAGGGTTAAAATTCTGCCATTTTACAAAGTTACATTCCTACAGTTCCGCAATAAACAGAGATTTGTGCCAGATCTTTTGCATCTCAAGTCAGACATCACTTGCTAATAAAACATTATCAGCATCCATGTTTCCAACATTGTTAAGAATAGGTATATCAAGAGTATTTTCTGGTAGCGTTAAAATTTCTGGTGACCAAATGACTAACTTAATAATTATATTGTAGTTTTGGGTAATAAGTTTCTAGTAATAAGACTTTTACTCTTGAGAATAAAGCCTGTCTATAATGATCAATGACACTTACTTCTAGACAGTCAGAAGTGAATATTGTGAATTTTGAACTGGAATTTGTCAGTGTTACAGTTTATAAAATGTGGTAATGGTTTCTTGCTGTACAAAATAAAAGTATACATGGTTTCTTCCTATGTGGCAAGAATCCTTTCTGACTTTGGTTTCAACAAGCCAAGAATTATTGCTTCTCTCTTTTCCTTGATTTAGTATGGTTTAAGAGTTAGGTTTGGCAGTTCATGCTTGCCCATAAACCATTAACCTGCAAGTGATAGGTTTAATCCAGACATTAGCTGTGAAAGCTTTTTTGAATTATGCCCTGAATATTATTTGGATTATCCATTGAATTGGTCATCAGAAATTATTATTTGAAATTTATGTTAAAGATTGGTGATTTGGAACAATATGATGAATTTTATACACAAAATGTTGTTACATGTCTTTTTTAGTTCAATATGGCAAACATGAAATATAAAATACCATCCTGTTCATTGCTTGCCATTTATGACATTGCCTGATCCTTTATGGTATCATGAAAATTATTATTATAGAGAATTTTTATGACAGCTAGCAGTACTATCTATTTACTGGCCATGTTGAGTTATAAGACCTATATGTAATGTATTAGGTGGTCAATCAATATGGCCACTACATCAATCTTAGATTTAATTAGATTCTTTATATAGTAGATATGAACAGAGACAAATAGACATCTGATATTGTTATCTACCAGAATCTAAACACATTCAAACTATCTTATAGATGATGGTTGATGAGACTCTAACATTACTCTGGTCAGAACTAAGGCCAACCTAAAACTATGTCTGCTTCTGGAAATGAAACTACCTATGTTTCTCTCGTGAAAGATGCCTTGAAATTGTTGATGTCCTAAAAGCCATATTAAAAGTTTTATGGTGCAGGCAGACGAACAGTCTTGGTTAGCAATATCTGTTGCCAAATAGAGCCTTTTCATGAGTTTCGCTGAAAGCTATGGGCATACCAAGAGCGAAAAACTCTCTCCAGTTTTCCACTATGTCTATAATCACGTAATGATCATGTAATTGAAAGGAAAAGGGATCTGATTGGATGATGACGCTATGTCTCACAGACAATAAAACAATCAGCGAACACAGATATTAAAATTCTGTTGGCAACTCGATAATCTTGATGTGGAAGCACTGGAACACACGAGATTTCACTCAAGAATCAGTGACCAAGACTGTTCGTATGCCAGTACCATTAAAGACTTGGGAAGGCTACTTTTTACTCTAAACTTGTACTATAAATGTTCTTAATTCTTTCAAAAGTGTAACTGAAGTTAATAAATGAATACTGACATGCCAATTTGCCTCTAACAAAACCTGTAAATGTCTTACATGTTAGAAATAATGTAAAAATGTTCTTCTCTTTTTCAGAGATGGAAGCCATTGTTTGATCAGGTATGTTGAATATTTTTTGAAATTATATTCATAGGATTTTATGTTTAAACTTTTTTTGCATGCTCAGCTCCCTATAATGAATAATGGTTATTAACAAGGGTACGTAGGGTTAAAAAACAACTTTTTTAGAGTCTTTCTAACTCCATATACTAGGTATGGTTCTGCATTCCCTTTTTGACCAACCCCATTGACTACATGGCTAGAAAACTTCTGTAAAGTATCTTTTAAAAGCCATTGCAGTTTTACTATTTGGTCCTTTGGTCCTTGGACATAAATTATTTGCCCCCTATTTGTAACCTCAGTATCAAGAGATAGGCTCTGCCTGTGATCAGTCTAGAAATGAAAGTTTTAAATCTGTATGATATAGGTTGTCATAGTTTTATATTTGATCAAACTGAAGACGAGTAAATATGAACTGTAGGTGATGTTAATAGATGATAATACACCAGTAAACAGAAGATATATTAATGACTATTGATTTCCATTCAATTCCTTCATATTTCTTCTTACATCATCATTGTTTGAAGTATATCAATGTAAACCTTGGAAAACAATATTTAAGATGCAAGAGATATACTTTAGACTAATGGAATTGTATTCTTCATTATCTTGGTCAACCTGGAGCAATTTCTTTCTGGGTATTCTTTCAAATACAGACATTGCTGAGATGGCTCTGTTGTTTGTGAGATATGTTTGCTTATGAGGCTTTGTAAAATTAGGTTTGCTACCTTAGTGATTTGACATTCAGTGGATTAGAAATTTACAAAAAAAAAAACCAAAAGAAAGCAAGTTACACATAAGGATTCATTAGAAAATCATTTTCAAAATATCTGCCACTCAAGAAAACTATTGTGTCAAGGAGATGATTTAAAATACCTTTGTCAGTCACTCCAACTAATTCCTTGTGTCAAGCCAAAACCAGATAAAAAATTCAGTTGATATTTTTTGAGATATACAATAAGTGAGATCGGAGGCAAATCCTGCACCTATCATGAGAAATTGTCAATATGTCTCCAAAACCTGGCATACTTCTTGTCAATTATTACTCATAGAATGTGTCATGTCAGGTATATTGAGTGACATGGTGGTAATTAGAGTTTGATTTGTGTAGGAAATACAATGAATCACCTGTAAGTATGACACATTACATTCCACCCTGATATAATTATTTATTTCATTTCAGTATGATTATAAGGGAAGAGGGGAAATAAATGTGGAAGACTTCCAGAGATTGTTATGTCATCCGCGACTGAAAGCAGACATGGATTGTCATACCTTGGATATTCTGGAAATAAAGATCCGAGAATCGTGTAAACCAACGGTCACCTATCAAGAATTTATCAACATTGTATGTATTTATAAGTTATGTTAGTTACTATGTTTAGGTATTGATTATTTTATACTAGTATTCTGATGGTATTATATGGTATGTGGTTAATATGTTAGTATGTATTCTTGTTTTCAAACACTTTGACACAGAATATCAAATTTAAAATATCATTGACAAATATTTTAACACATAAAAACACTAAACTGCAAAAAAAAACCGCTCCACTTATGTCATCATAGTACTATGTGGATATTTTTTAAAATTCAACCCAAAGTTACTAAACATGTTATTTTATTGAGAAATTTTCCATTAATTTCAAACACGTCTGCCAACATGACAATTGTTTTCAAATTTAGATAAATACACCAATTTTGGTAACAACTATGTAAATACAACAAAATGATTATCTCTACAATTTTAACATGACATTGCTGAAAAATGCTACCATGATCCGCTCTTAACAGTTGATATATAACGCTTGATCTTAAAATTATAGACTTCTTAGACATGAAACTCAACAGAATAATCCTTTGTTATCATTCGTTTTCAATCTTTTTCTCAGTTCATGTTTCTTGTGAAACCCTCAGGCAAAAAGATTTTCATAATCAACTTGTCCTAAAATAGTAGACAAATGATGAAGAAGTACCAGCTTGAACCTGATAAACAACACAAAATTTGTCTTTAAAAGATGAGGAACATTGATTGGAATGCCTGTATTTCTTAAAACCCTGAAACTCACTTGAGTTATAATACATTGTTATATTTGCTGTATTTTGTCAGCATGCCTGGCTGAAATTTTTAAAATTTCAAGCAGTAGATTCTTTAGAAACATTTTTGTGAAAAACAATAGGCCTACAGCATCTTAAAAAACAACTGGTATTTGAATTTTCAAACTGGTAGACAAATATAAGAACACTATCCTTTGATAAGACACAATTATTATGATTAATTACATGATCTACTTGTTAGATAAGACATGTATTAAATATAAAACTCAAGTTATGGGTAGTAAAGAGTTAAAAGAATTAAGATATTCATCTATGATTGATAGTTATACTTATAAACGGGCTGTTATAACTTTAATATACCACCTTTTAGTGTTTTTTATCACTACATCAAACATCAAACCTCTATTATTTACCTCTTTAACTTGGAGAATGACGGCACACTTATGGTGAATTATAACTAAATTGAAAGTAGTCAAGTGTAAAATTGTACACATTAAATAAGCTTGACATCTGCTTTGTTAAGATACAAAAAGATTGTTAATATAATAGCATGTGGACTATACAGCTGAAATATACAACTAATGATATACTGGAAAGAATAGGTCAGATCAGACTGTAACAGATGAGGAAGCCACAAATAATACTAATTCTTCAATATTATGGCTTTTTAAGGCCAAGTTTAGAAATTCTTAATGTGAAAGAGCTTATTGTGCTGTATTCTCATACGTTTCAAATTACGAGTATTTATTTCGTAAAGATGTATTTTAACAAAACCCCCTATTCCAAACTAGATGTCCTGAAAAGGAGACCATATCCTAAACATGCAAACTAATGATAACAATGAGGTTTTGTCAATTAGGGTTGTGGCAGGCAGTAACAGGAAATGCCTTGCTGTGAGCTACAAGACATATTGCCAGGATACTATCTTACATGTGCATTAAGGGGATTGTAATTAAAGAGGTTTTCTAAATTTTCCATGGGTATTTTAATTTTTAGTTAGATGTGTTTTGGTCTTACAATTACATGTTTTAAATGTTTTATAACATCACTATCACAAAAGCTGCTATTGATATATAAGAATCTTTGCGATACTTCAACTTGCTAGTCTTTGTCGAATTGCAAGACAGACCAACTATGACTGAACATTGTAATGGTGCAAATTGATGCTTTCAGTTTAGAAAACCTCTGTACAATTCCATTAAGTGCAGTTTTAGTGAACAAGTTTTAGTACATAAAGTAATATAAAATAAGTGGCCTAAAAAATAGATGAAAGAAAGATAAACTGTAAGTTTTAAAAAGAAATTGAAGATGCATGATATAATTTGATACTGACTTGACAATACATCTCACAAATAATATCACATTATTATTATTAATTCATTATTGCCATCAAACTTACTCTGTCTCATTGTTATAAAATCATCAGCATAAAGACTGAAATTAAACATTAATGTCACCATTGATATAGGACAATTAGCGAAAATAAGAAACAGCAGTGTAAGCAGAACAAAAGAAAATGTTTCTATTGGCTTGAAAATTACTTGAAAGTCGACTGTTCAATTGCTGTGCTGGTGATTTTAAACTTCATTAAACTTGTTCATTTGCTGGACAGAATTAGAAATTATCTGGATGTGGTTTGCATCATGATCATTTATTATGGATAATACTTTATGATTGGTAAGCCTTACTGTTAAATTGTTCAGATGACCTACTTCAGGTTTGAAATTGCAAATTGAAATAAATGCAATATTATTGTTTAATGAGTAAATAAGTGCAATGAACCCTGGGTGTTTATAGATTATCACCCCTGGGAATTTTTTTACTTGAAAAGGTATATTGCAAAAATGACAAAAACAAGATATATGACAGTTTTGAAAAAAGGAGTTTGGAGAACAGAACAAGTATAAATTCCAATAATTTGTTTTGAATGATGGCTATAGGACAGGCCTGTGCAACATACGGCCCGCGGGCCAATTACGGACCGTGAGATGATTTTGTGCGGCCCGCGGTGTCATGTCAAATTTGAGGGAAATGTGGCCCGCGAGCAAATGCTTCTTTTTCTCTTGTCACTGTCGGTGTGGCCTGCAGATTGTCGTTGCCTATTCTGATATCGAAACCCAATTTTACTTCAAATATGTCTGGTATTTGCAATGCACATTGAAATACGTTATTGAGTAAATGACTTTAAAAACTGTTTTTTGTTGTTAATTCCATGATTCATTGATGCTTGGTTGCGTGGCCCACAGCCTACTCGCATCCCCAAAATGTGGCCTGCCGTTGCGGAAAGGTTGCACAGGCCAGCTATAAGAAATAAAACTAATTTTGATGCAGAAACAAAATTCAGTAGTGCATAATTTAAAATTAGTTAAAATCAGTTAATACAGAAATCTAAAAGATTTGTGGAAATATAAATGATTTTGGTTATGACTAAGTAGGGTTAATCATATATAATACATGTAGGATATTTGATATTGGCTAGCGTTGTCTTGGGAAGGTTTGCTACTAAGCAAGATTTTTTCTATGTACTTGCTTATTATCAAATTAGATGAAAATTCCTGACGTAATCCAGGAATAGTTATTCAGTTCAATGTCTTCAGTGAACAATATTAGACATTAATAAATATGGAAAAATTAATTTTCTAAATCTGAATTCGGAATTTGAAAACTTGGAAAATGTTGGAAAGATTCAGTTTTGAGTATATATTATAGGCTTACATTAACAGAAATATTCAAAATTTTAAAAAGGTTTTGGACAAGAAAAACAGCAGATTTGTGGCATAATTCTGGGCATTATTAACAGAACATGTTTTGTGGAGACATAGTATGACCTTATATTGTATTGTCTGTATTGATAGATACTTCTGATACTCAAACTATGTTTGAACTGGTTTTTAAAAACTAGTGTTTTATTGTTGATTTCGTGATAACAACTCAAATCCAGTGAGATCAAACAACTTGTTTTGTTATATTGAAACAGTTTGATCTTCTACATGTTTGGACAACTTGTTTTGTTTGTGTTTATTTAACTTAAAATCAACAACCTTGTGTTTCAGATGAGCAACAGAAGAAATCCAAGTTTTCGTCTAGCAGTTGAAAGTCGCGATAAAGAAGGATTATCCAGTAACGTTTGTCTACAAAATCGAAGCTATCCAACGAGTTGTTTTGGTAAAATGGTGCGGAAGGTAGCAAATGATTTTCTGACAGATGAGATAGACCGTCAGTATTATTCTGATAGATATACCTGTTGCCCTCCACCATTGTTTCTACCATTAATTACTGTTATTGAGGTAAGTTCTGTATATCACCATTGTTTCTACCATTAATTACTGTTATTGAGGTAAGTTCTGTATATCACCCTTATTTTTACCATTAATTACTGTTATTGAGGTAAGTTCTGTATGTCACCATTGTTTCTACCATTAATTACTATTATTGAGGTAAGTTCTTTATATCACTATTGTTTCTACCATTAATTACTGTTTTTGAGGTAAGCTCTGTATATCACCATTGTTTCTACCATTAATTACTGTTTTTGAGGTAAGTTCTGTATATCACTATTGTTTCTACCATTAATTACTGTTGTTATTGAGGTAAGTTCAGTATATCACTTTTGTTTCTGCCATTAATTGCTGTTATTGAGGTAAGTTCTGTATATCACCATTGTTTCTACAATTAATTGCTGTTATTGAGGTAGGTTCTGTATATCACCATTGTTTCTACCATTAATTAGTGTTGTTATTGAGGTAAGTTCAGTATATCACTTTTGTTTCTACCATTAATTACTGTTATTGAGGTAAGTTCTGTATATCACCATTGTTTCTACAATTAATTGCTGTTATTGAGGTAGGTTCTGTATATCACCATTGTTTCTACCATTAATTACTGTTATTGAGGTAAGTTCTGTATAGCACCATTGTTTCTACCATTAATTACTGTTATTGAGGTAAGTTCAGTATATCACCATTGTTTCTACCATTAATTACTGTTATTGAGGTAAGTTCTGTATATCACCATTGTTTCTACCATTAATTGCTGTTATTGAGGTAAGTTCTGTATATCACCATTGTTTCTACCATTAATTACTGTTATTGAGGTAAGTTCTGTATATCACCATTGTTTCTACCATTAATTGCTGTTATTGAGGTAAGTTCTGTATATCACCATTGTTTCTACCATTAATTACGGTTGTTAAGGTAAGTTCTGTATATCACCATTGTTCTGTCAGTAAAGATTGTATAAAACTTAAACCAGTAATTGTTGTTCTTTAAAGCTACTACATATTTTACTTACATTTGCTAAATTAAAAAGAATAAAGTGATATGATTGGTTAAAGGGCTAGATTTTAAATCAATTGAAGCAACTGATGAACCATTTTACTTCTAACTAAAATCAGCCTACATGTTCTTGTGAAACAGGCCCCTGAATGACAGTGTTAAAGAGTATGTCAGATTTCTCCTTGTGATCTTGTTCTCAGAAAGAATGCTACAATTAACACTGGCTAGACATTTTGAAAATGATCAGCACTTTATTTGAGAATGATGGAGAATTGATAAGAAGGGTTAATTCAGTTGTCTGGTTGGACAAACATCATGTCATTATGTCAACAAATCAACACAATCTAGTCCTGGCCAACTATTAGATCACCGTCTTTTATTATGTTAGTTTATTCACACAGCTTCTAAATTCAAGTTTTATCAAAATTTGGTTTTCTTTCGAATGTCTTGTTCATTTCATTAACAAAGACTCTCATGGTCTGCAGAGTTTCATGCAATTTAGAGCCATTGTAGAATGTAGTGAGCAATCATGCTCTTATTCAGAGTAAAAAGGTCTTTCCTGTCAAATTAGAGTCTGAAATCTTCACTTTTATGTTGAATATTTTCAACTTTCTTTTGAAAGAAAGTTTCTGGCATATAAATTTTCTAAAATTGCAGAAATTTCCCATTTAGGATTTAATCTGAATCAAAAGAACCCATTTTAGATAAATCTCACTAACATAAAAAACAACGACATAAAAAGCTTGCGATAATTTTAAGAAATATATCAGATATCACATACAGAACAATTCTGCATCAAACAGTTACAATTTTTAAACTGAAATAATTCTGATCTTCATCTTTTTAGACATTTATTCTGCATTGACAAGAGTCGATGTTAAATATGATGAAATAACTGCCAGTTGATAAACGCCAAATACTTAATCTTTTGGAAATCACTCATACAGTTACTAGATATTTCTTTGTCTGACCTTAAATCTAATAAGCTCAATGTGAAATCAATAACAAGTTTTGATTCAAAAAATAATTTTTGTTGAGACTTTGTGAAACAATGTAGGCATAACTTGATTGTACATCGAGTTTATAAATTAAGTGTATTTATTAAACATAAAACCGGGAGCTGAGGTGGCTCAGTGAGTTAGATGCTTGCTCGCAACCCTAAAGGTCCAGGGTTCAATCCCAGCATAGGTCGAGATAATAACTTCGGATGTTTCAACCCAGTTTCCCCCTGTCAGTGATGCAGGTACGAGGGGCTTACATGGAAAAAGCGTCTAGTTGTTTGGATCGGACAATATACCGAGGCCCCGTGTGCTACAGGCTTGGCAGGTTAAAGATCCCTTGACAGTTGGAAAACGAAAAAGAGCAGGCTAATGCCACTGTCTTGGCAAAATTTCCCTCATTGCACCTTGCATGGCGTTGGCCGTCTTCATTAGCCCACATGATGCAGAAAAGTAGGATGTAAAACTCCATTCATTTCATTTAAACATAAACCCAAAAGTTAACAGACTCAATTACATGAGTCCAAAAGTTATTATGCATCATTTATATTGTAAAGTCTGATTTTATAAAAGTGTTTGTTTGTATTGTAGGTTGGTTGTTTTATATATTATTGTCTAGAAGCTGGTGAAATTGGTCCAAACAGTCCCCTACCATTAAATAGTATTTTTATCTACCGTCCAGATAGGAGGCTGGAGTTGTGGAGATTTTTCCTTTATACTTTTATACATGCAGGGTAAGGTTAATGTATTGTTTTGGTGTAGCTGCTCTTAGGCCCTGTTTTATTGAGACTAAGAAAGACAGACAATCCTTGAGCTACCGTACCAATATTTTTCTCATTTTAGACTATTGACCTCTTTTTGTGACTGAGATCATTATCTAATTTGACCATTATAATTTGGAGCCACTACAGAATAATGATGCCATTCACACAATATTTTGTCTCAATGAATTTGAATGGCCCAGAACTGATTACTGGACCAATCTAAGTCTAGTGATAAGAATACTGGTCGCCTGTCTCAAGGGTAAAGTGTTGAAACTAAAATGTGATCCTTGAAATCCCAAGCTGTGTACAACACAACAACGTATATGCCATAAACAACACTAACAACACTTTATATTCTAAGTTAATATATTTTGTTTTATTTTGTAGCTATATACACCTAATGTTTAATATGATTGTACAGATAGCTGTTGGTATACCATTAGAAATGGTACATGGTTCCTGTCGTGTTGGTATTATATATCTGGCTGGTGTATTAGCTGGTAAGTAAGAAAGTACTTCCTTAAGTAGCATTTAGTACTTGACTATAATAAACATGACAAAGAAGTTGGAAAAAGACAAGAGAACCATCAATGAAACAGGGCATCGTTAAATATAGCAGTAATTCTTCTTCATAAAGTTGTGTTTTTTAAGTCAGAAAATCCTGCTGATTTCTCAAATTGACTTGTAATTAAGATTTAACTTACATAACGCACATGAAAGAATATTTAATAAGCAATATATCCTGGCTCTTTTAAACCTCTTCAAAGTATCAAATAGTACATTGTTATAGCAGTAACCTCAGAAAAATATATGCAGATTATCATCATCATGTTATCTGTAAATTTTTTTTTTTATTGGTATAATCAATTTATAGTTTGTACCCCGATAGTTTGATTTTGAATAAATTTGAAAATTTATTTTTAATTTTTGATAATTTTTAGGTTCATTAGGAACATCAGTATTCGATATAGATGTATTTTTAGTGGGAGCATCAGGTGGTGTTTATGCTCTCTTGGCAGCTCATTTAGCCAATGTTTTATTAGTAAGTATTTGATCTTCATTACATTGGACAATTTTGGTGTACGAAAAGGGATATCTTGAGCCATGCACAACAATCTTAAGAACTTATTTACTTGTCCTTGTAAGGATTCATATTCGATTGCAATACATGTTTTATGCTTACTGACTCATAAAAAATAAAAAAGGGATTTGAATAATAATTTTAAATGTTGAGAAAATTGCAAAGAAAAGCAGGTTCAAAGGACAAGGTGACCCAATATTTTTTCAAAACTTTAAACATTCTTTGATAGCCTGGCAGAGTAATTATAATTAGTGATAAAGTAGAACTGTTGGTTAAATGACACAGACCTTCTCTCAAATTGAAATTGAGATCAAATTTCACAGGTCGTTGAAAAATGTCCGACTGACAAAAAAATAAAAAAAACAACCCTGTTACTGAGTTCAGTTTGCAATTTATAAATCTTCGGATTCTGTAACAACATCAGTCATAGTTATGCAAGAATTTATATACATCACATAGAATTGAAATCTATTTCTTCTCCTTTCAGAATTATTCTCATATGGAATTAGGCTTGTTAAAATTAGCAGGGATATTTATTATAGGTGAGTTACTTCCCTTAGTCTAAGAATCTGATATCAACTCTTTAATACAGGATGAGAACACTGTTCAGGTTCAGTGTCAGATCTTTTTGAAAAAAGAATAATCTCTTGAAGTACTGCTTGATGTTGTCTGTTGTGATTTTTAGTACTCTTTAAGGAGCAGAAAAGTATAACATTTCAATTTAATTCAGTTCTCTTGGTTTGTTTGTCAAAATTGTTATGGATGGTTGAATTCTTCATTTTTTTTTAATTCCAGCAAGTGCGGATGTAGGTTTTGCCATATGGGATAGATATACACATAAAGATACCAATCCTCCAGTTGGCTATACAGCTCATTTAATGGGGGCTCTAGCTGGTTTAACTATTGGTCTTGTGGTGCTGAAAAATTTTGAACAAAAATTACACGAACAATATGTTTGGTGGATAGCTCTAGCAGTGTATTTAGGATGTGCTGTGTTTGCAGTGTTTTGGAATATTTTCTACTATTAAACAACACCATGTGATTCAAAATCTTGTGTGTTCAGAAAGTGATGCCATGAATCAAAAATATATGTTGAGTGTGACATTACAATTATTTGACATTTGCAAGATCCTGAACGATACAAATTTCTTAATTGTGGGCTGAAATTTTACATTCCATACACCGTATTATATTAAAAACCAGAAGGATTTCACAGACAGTTTGTAGGATTTGTTGGATAAAACAAACTTCCACAATAAATTTAGTTCTATATTAACTTGACAGAATGAAATCCATTTTTATTAAACAAATAAACAAACCAACAAGAATTTATGACCTGTATCCCAGCATACAGTTGACTTCCAGTAAAATAATATCATCCTACTTTCATTCATTGTTACATTCCATTTTAATTTAACATAGTCTTCACATGATTTGCCGAGATATAAAATATGACCATGGTTATTTGCACCATGATGGTACAACATATGACCATCCCTACCTAAACCTAGACAGGTCACTTACTAGCTTTCTTCATGCTTGACAAAAAAACTAGCGCAGAGATGGGAAAACAATCCTTTACCGATGCACAATATGAATGAAGCTCTCCCATTGGCTGCTAACGGTACAGAAAAAACTTGGAAACAAAGACAATACAAGCCGTGACGGTGCAAATAACCAGTGTGATAAAATATTTCTTTGTTTACAAGTGAAAGTGTTTTACTCTGTAATTGTGTTCATTAGAATCACTGCCAAATCCTATTAGATATCAAATGTTGATAATTCTAATCTAATTTACCTAATCAAATATTACTAGGACATTAAACTATCAAGTTGAGTTTTACTCATTGTTGGGATTGGTGTTGTATGAAATTAGGAGTTTTTTGCTTGTATTTTCTTTGTTTTGTGTTTATTAGGAATATACCAAAGGTGACCAGTGACAGCTTACTAGGTATTGTATTCTGTGGGTATCTTCATGACCAGTCTTTAACACGACTTTTGAATCTCACGTTAGGATCGTTGGGATCATTGCTACCTGGGTTTAGGACAATACAAAAATACCAGACATTTCATTTAATAACAAATATTTTCACTGTTTAAATAGTTCTCATTACATCAATTATAGAGTGAAATAGAAAAACTTAAACAGACCCTGAAACATGTTTTAATATTTAGACATTCCATTTTTTAAAATTATTTTTTTCAAAGATTTGAAAACATTTGTGTTCTTAGAGTTCTATCAGACATCATTGGTTGTATCTGAGCAAATTATTAATGAATCTATCATCTGTCTCAATATAAAGACAATATTCCAGTCAGCCAAGTCAGGCTTTGTTATACATTTGTTAATCTTATATTATAAGTTATTTATATTTTCAGTGCAATATTTTCTTTATTTTGTAAATAATAAATTCTAGATTGATAAAAAGTGTGTTTTTGTTGAACTGATACAGAATACCTAGTTAGACCTAGTAGCCTAATTTCCTTTACATACACTCCATGGTTAATATGGATTGCATTGGGCATGTTAGTGATAATTTAAGACCATCCGGCATCCCGTAGTCGATTCATTAACTTTCTGGAAACTTTTCAGAATATGACTCCTTTATTTCATTGTAGCGGCTTCAGACAACGTTTGTTAAATATATAACATTAAAACCGTAGTTACCTCCCTTCTACTATTTCCTTATGTGATACTTTAGTGAATTCTTTTTCTATGAGTTTAATTCTCGTTTCACCGTGCCCATAATATTGATATGCAATTATAAGACCATTTAGAGTATCACTTTACAACAAATTCAGAAGAAGTCAGTCAGGACTAATATTAAAAAAAAACCAAAAAAACAAGTCGATTTCAGATGATAGAATTCTCGATTTTTCCGAAAAAAATCTTAGCTCCCATTAAGTCTTGAAAGTTTATAGGCCTACATAGTAACTTATGTATATTACTATGTGTCACCCACTATTCTAAGGTGTTCGAATAGATCTTTTTCGGGCTTATTGTTTTTTTACATTAAAATCAATAGATAAAGTAATCCATGTTGTATGAATCTTTTTGGTTATAGCGGTTTAAGAACAGTCTGACTTTGAATTTCTTTTCACCATGACATTCGGTTTTAATTCTTCCAATACACTTTAATAGCTATATCAAAATGTTTCAAGTAATTGGAGCATACTCTCACTTTAAGGATGAAGATTACAACACATTGCAGGCTTATTATATTTTAAGATGAATTAATTACTTATTTTTGATCAATTTCCTTAATTGAATCTTTTTTTATAATTTCTGCTTACTCGTGTAATTCTGTCACGAAATGCCTTTATATTAAAAAAAAAAAGTCAGGTACAGAAATACACTATTTTCAGAAAAAGTTTTGCTCTGTTGATCATATGGAACTATAATCATCGTCAACAGGAAACTCGAATATGATAAATTTGATCTGCACCTCCGTTCATGATGCCACGAGGCCTTCTTACTGTCGTGTGTTCGCATTATCAATTAGTAGAAGCAGGGGATTAGTTTGTTAAATACTGTCAAAATGAATATAAAGATTGATATTAGAAATACATCTTACTGGAACTATTGAAATGAATGGCGTCTTGCTGCAAAAGCCCACCCTTTTTCTCACTGCCTTCTGTTGAGAGATCTTTAGGATGCACAACCTGTACAACACACAGGCGTCCTCGGTTTATCTTCCCTTCCGAACGATTAGATGCATTTTGTATGTCAGCTACTCAACCATCGTGTCCAAACCACACACCCATTTGCCATACTTCAATGTCAAAACCCGTATTCGTGATACGATGATACTCAACCGGGTTGAAAATAACACAAGATATTATCTCGACCTATGCCGAGAGTGAACGACGGACCTTTAGTTTATCGGTTACTTAGTCATTGAGCAATCACGGACCCCTTTTAAATCCTGAGTATAATTCCTAGTTTTCCATTTTTTTCTTTTGATTACATTGATAGCACAATAATGGTGCAGAAAAGTATGACAAGAAAAGAAGTTATTACCAAAAAAGCTTGCTGCATAGGCTATATTTATTTCTCCTACAGTGTCAGGATTTGCTTCATAGATAAATCATTACCTCGAATAATAAAACCATATTAAAGTTATTCATCGTAGTAGTCTAGGGAATATCTATAGATTGTTGAATGTTTTTGTTTTGTCCTGTTGAATTCTGATTTCTTCTTATAACTAACAAACTAAGTAGTGGATCAAAAATATTGTATAAATAATTAAATATAGCGTAGGATGCAATGAATTAGATATTACTCAAGGATCATAAAATATTTTTCAATCCTCTAAAAATATATCGTAACCCAAAAGCCCGTTATTCATTTACACTGCCCAATTAGCCTAAATAAAATTGCTTAGAGATCCGATGGCAGTTTGAGGGTATATTTTCAGTATTACATACACACTCGTATATTGTGAAATAATCAGTTTCGTTTAGACCAGCCATAAGAATATGTATGTGGGATTCACTGATCGGAGAAAGAGTTGGAGGAATCCGGAATCTTTGAAAGTGGAAAGGAAACAAAAGTCTCATAGACTTTTAACTGATTGACTAACTTGTACCAGACGCCTTGAAAGAGTCGGTGTGTTTCTGACTATAGAATGAAGGATGATATCACTATTCTGGTTTACATGATAAGCTAAATGGTACATCAACATAATGATATTAATAATTAATAAGCCTAACTAACTAATTGTAAATTAAAAGGCTATAGAGATAATATTAATGTATGGATATCGATTCGATATCAAGTTGGGTGTTTACTATATTAAGACTATAATGTCATATTGCATATTAACAGCACTGTTAAAGACTATCGAACTGAAGACTATCTCACAGAGTAATCTATTTGAGATATATTGGAGGGTAGGTAGGTTCTACAAAGCCCTGAGACTTGAATCCTTAGTCTCGGATTACCCATTGATGGGACAGTGATGGGTTGAAAAAATAAAAAATAGAACATCAGAATATTGAACATAAACACACAATGGCTTACTGGTTTCCTTTTCCAAATCAACATTAATATATTCTGTATAAATATGCAGACGTTCCTCGAAATGATCAAATTTTTCCCAAAGCTAAAACAATTACTGATATTGGAAGTCAACTCAAGAGGAATTCATAAAGATACAGGTGTGGTCATAACATAGGTAACGTCTGCCATGAAAACTGTCGAAGACATACCAGCCATATTAAGCTTTTTTACCTGTTTTAACAGTGAAGAACCCAATTTAGATTTAGACATATTGAACCAGTTAGCCCCCTTCTTTTATAAAGGCTTTGAAGTATTACTTTTATATAGTTTATAGTTTCGGTATAGGCTAGGCTGTAACTGTATCAGTTGTGTCCTGTAAGAATGAGATCATCCTTTCTGGTTAGCGACACTCAAAGACCTTATCATATAAACTTGGACTATGTTTCCTATTCAATTTTCCAAGTTATAAAACGTTATGTGTTTTGGGAGAGTTCGACTTGATCTGATTATGATGCTTGAACAGTCAATAAGCCTGTCATACCAGAATGATTGAGTTCATTGACAGAGACAATAGTTTGTAACGTGAATTCTATAAACCAATGAAATGAATGGAAGCGAATACTGGAAAGTTTATAAAGAGAATATTCAGAGTTTTAGCATCAGATAAGATAATTAATTGATCACCAATCATGATTGTTTCTACTCTATTCGTTCTGTTTATTAGTGTTTTCTCGGGAATAAATTGTACCAGAACAGATAAAAATGTAGACCCGTACCTCCGACCAACTTTACGTGCCTTAAGATTTGCTCTGGAGTTTTTAGAAAATGAACATAAAAATGTCAATTTAGATGCTATTATAGGAACCCGAATTGTTGAAGGTAATACAATTTTTATACATTTTATTTTTCTTTAGAAATATTTAAACAGCGTCTTAAAAATCATGTTGTTACTCCACTCTAGTTTCAACGAGTAATTCAAAGTCATTGGCTTCAATGGTTGTTCTATTTCAGCTTTAAAACAATCAAAAAGATATTTTTTTTGAAATTCATATTATCTAATTTTTCAATGTTGTGGGCCGGGTGGCGTCGTGCTGATGAGAATATAATTCTGAGACCTGAAACGCCATAACATGAAGTTTCAAAATTATATCAATATTTAAGTGAGTAAGGGCTTCTTCATTTACAAAAATATACCAATCTACTAATTGTCTAGACTATTTTATTTAATGGACAACAATTCAATTTTTTTGTCTTGGCTATCTGGGAGATTGATATTGATTTAAAAACTTCAAATTTTAAATTTAGTCAAATTAATAACTTTTCTGATTTTTCTTAACACTTTGAAAATTTAAAGTGGACCTTTCGAAGTAAGTTGCTATTTTTTTTTTCAAGATCTATCAGACAAGGAGCTCATCAACTCATTTTGTTGATAAAAATTGTATCACTTACAGATATGATGTTCCTATTTAAGCTTTCCTGTGATTAAGTTTGATGGTGTAGAAGTTGAATGTATTTTCAATTTTTACTTGTACCACAGAAGTCTCGACAGTCTATTTTTATTTGTATTGTATTATAATAATCGTAATAATATTCGTTTGTTTGAACTGAAACTTTAAAAAAGCAGAAATAAGTTCAAATAATGTATCAGTTTTGTCATCAAAGAGTTTTTTGTCCGTCATATCTCATAAAGCTTCCAGGCAGCAAGTCTTCTGAGATTCCAATGGAGTGTTACTGTTATTAATTTAAATGATATTCAATATTCTAAACAGTGATAGACTTATTTCTTATCAAAGTCGTGACAATCTAGGTGTTATCATAAAGAAACTTGATGAAATAATAGAGAAGATCACTAAGAATGCTACAGATCTAACAGTAGGAATTAAAAATTAAAATGAATGTTCACGTTGTATTGAGAAAATCAATCGAAGCGAATAAATCAACCGATTCAACTTTTCCCTTGCTGATTCTTATAGTTCCGCTATGAAAATAAAAGACATTCTTGATGTGTGACAATAAATCGGCAGTAAAAATCAGAAAGATCCCTTGATATATGATAGAACAATTGTTAAAAAGAGGTTCAATTAGTTAAACATTTCCACCCCGATCTGCAGAAAAAAGTATAAAAGAATTGTTGATAAACAAACCCATCAGGGACACAGGGTTTAAAGGGTTCGTATATATTTAATTTGTACATAAACAATATTAAAACTATGTATCCTTTTATCAAAACAGGATATAGTTAAACACGGTATATAGTAGTTAAACACTATTAGTTAAAAATCGGTATCTATTAGTCAAAACAATGTAACTTTTCGTCAAAACAAAGTATCTATTCTTTAAAACAGTTTATCTATTTGTTAAAACAGTTTATCTAAGTAGTAATAGAGCTTAAAGATTTACAGCACTACTCAGCTTCGTTTCGTAGTACTCCGCTTTGCTCTACTTGGCTCCATACTACTCCACTTCGCTCCGTAGTCCTGTAAATCTGTAAGCTCTATGACTACTACCAGGCGAACACAACTTTATTATTATTAACTCTTAAAAAAAAACTTCAAATAAAAATATCTTTAATAAAAATCCACACTCCCAACACTTATTTCGGCTCAGAAGACATTCAAAAATCTCTAATCAAACTTCCAGGATTTCCTTGGGCTAAATATTTGGGCGAAAAACATCTTGTAAGGCATAACTACATTGGCACAGGAACCCGTTCAGATTTATGATATATACAGAGGTTATAATGGCTTACAGTTACATCTACATAAAATATTTCACATTTCTTATTCTTGATTTGTCTTGCCTATCTTCGATTATTGTGACGTCATATGGGATGGGTGCACTGCAAAACTAAAAGACTTGTTAGAAAATCTCCAGTTAGACGCACTCAGGACTTTATGCGGTGCTGTTAGGGGTACAAGTCATAGGCTATTATATTACGAAACAGGTGTAGTAACGCTACAAGAAAGACGACAGCGACATAAACTAATTATAATGTATACAGTGTATAACAACTTAACCCCAAATTACCTTTTAAACCTGATACAATTAGATGATAATCCGTACAATTTGAGAAATACTAATAATTTCATAGAATACAATTGTAGGACATAATTATTTTATAGATCCTTCGTAGCATCTGGCATTAGAGAATGGAATAACCTATCTGTTCACCTTCCATAAGTTCTTTTAAAGCCGCTCTCGAATCAAATGACATTCTTGTACCCATTTCTTACTTTTTGGCTCTCGAAAAATACAAATTTTACATTCTCGTCTTCGTCTTTCTTTGTAGCGATCTAAATTGGACACAAATTCCTACGACACATTTCGGACAACCCTACTTGCCCTTGCGGTCACCAATTCGAAATCCTGAGCATTACTTACTCCATTGTTCGACATATTCAGATACACGTGAAACTACCCTCTACCTGTTAAAACCTACTGATTTATCAGATTAATACTCTTTTATTTGTCAAAAATCATCCTAAATCATATTCGAGCAAGATCATAATTTTATTCAGCTCAGGAAAAGAATCTGCATTACCTAAACTTTCAACCAATTTCACCAGCACTGAGATGGAGATAACACTCATGTTAATATGCTCTCAAAATAACCAATTTATTACTTTTTGATCATTTTCTCCTTTTGCATTATATATCAAGTAATTATTTCATCAGGAGACGGGTAATATAGGCGAAAGCCTGTTCCCCAATCCTTTTCATTATTATATGAATAAAATATTGTTTACAAAAAAACCCCCAAAAAACCTTCAATTGTTAAAAGAGGGAATGCAAATCGCAAAAGCTTACCATCAAGAAAATATTATAAAACTTTCCAAAAAACCTAAAAATAATTATTGTTTTTAAACAAAAACTTCCCTCCTGTGACAATTTGTTACGGAAAATTGCTACGGAAATAAAAGAATGATGTTATTTCGTTTAAACGAATTAATTATTTCGTTTAAACGAAATAATTATTTCGTTTAAACGAAATAATAAATAAATATGTTTACAATTGCGCCTTAGGGGCTCCGTAGTAAACTGTTACAATTTGTTTTGTTTTTTTTTTTATTAAAAATGGAAAGTAAAGCAAAACTCGAATCTATATAATTATAATGTGTATGAACCTTTTGGGTTCAGATTAAATAAGAAAAAATCATCATCATATCTCCAACCATTGGTTCTCAATCCCAGATAAACGATGGAGGAAGGGTAACGTTTGAAATCAATTCTTAATCTATAATTGGCTACTTCTGTCTTAAGCCTTTTTTCGTTGTAATATAAAATTCAAAGACGGAAATTCAAACCAAAACTGAATTCCACAACAGAATTTCTCCCCTCCTTATTCAGCGAAATGGTTTTTGAGGCAGGTTCAAATATAATTCAAACCAATAAAAACCCAGGTGAATTTGACACCATTTTGAAAATTCTACTTTATCCAAAAGACTTTAACTCATCATTGCAGATTTAAGAGATGGAAGATTAAAATATTAGAATCAATTGAAAGAGGAAAACCGAAAACGATTACTTATAACGGTAAAAAGATACCTATTTCAAAATCAGTTTTTAACAAATTAAAAGAGCATAAAATTCAAGACAATATCAATTATAATCCTTGAATGACATTTAGAAGTAGATAGGACATTATATAAATAAACCACTATTATGGATATACTACTCCTCTTCAATTTAACGTGTCAATTCGTTTCAAATTTCATTGCTGGAAAAGATTCATGTATGCGAATTGAAACGTTGCTTGAATTAAAGAGGAGTAGTATATCAATTATGACGAAATCGGCAAGGAAGCTGAACAAGGTGGATTTCTATTTCTCCTACCCTTTATTTTCGGAGGGTTAGCAGAAAGGGGAGTGGGATAGTCTCTTCGGTAAATAGATAAAGGCCAGAAGACAAGCAGCCAGAGAAAAACGTAGATATAACTTAGAAATGGAACAATTGGCCAAAGGTTCGGGCATAAAAGATATCTTATTAACCATCAAACAATTCACCCATGAAACCAAAAAAAAAAAAACAGTAAAAGAAGGCTTGTCTAAATTAATCAAATCAATACGGATGAAACGAAGATTGAAAACAAGAAGGAAAGGGAATAATACTTAAAGACATTAATAGTGGTGATGGTTTATTACTTTCTTAATACAACAATTAGACAAGGAGATGGTGTTCTACTAAACCCCCACTAAAACTTAATTAAAAAATGGTTTCAAAATTCAAACATTCAGACAGATTTTCACAAAATCCAATGTTAATGTGTGTTGTTGGTCAACCGGGTCCAGGAAAAACACACCTCTAATAAAATATTCCAAATATATGAAAATGATGAAGATCTACAACAAAATAACACGACTGAAGAATTTATAGATTATTGCATAAAAGAAAAGAATTCACCCATCACTCCTACTGATATTCAAGTATTGAATTTGAATTCGATGATTTGGTAAATGGAGAAGGTATGACTATTTTGAACAATTACTTATCAGACTTAATATAATCATTGAAGCAATAAAACATGGACTTTAATCTAATTTCAATGAAAATCCACGCCATTTTTAAAAGATTATTAGGAAAAAGACGATTATATAAATGTTTTGATTCATGCTATTTAAATAATGTTTACAAAAATGGACGAAGAAAATAAGATTAACCTTATAATTATTAGTTTTTGAAAAGAAATTGTATAGGAAATCTACACTTTCTCCTAAAAAAGCAAATATTGAGAACGATATCGATATCATCAACATTGATTGCAATTTGGTTGATGAAGATTTTTTCAATAAAGACAAACAACAAATTATATTCAGTATTCCTACGTTAACAGTTCCAATTGGGTATAGAATAGTAGAAAAACCATTTCAAACAACATATCTACCAATTAATTCCACAATTATCAAAGAAATCAATTTAGATATAAAAGACGGACTTGGAAGATATTTAGACTTTGGTGAAGAAGAAATATGTATTCAATTACATTTTTCCTCATTTTCATCCAAAAGTATGTTATCATAATTATCGAACTGATCATTTTCATCCATGTTAATTTAATTTTTTATCATTATTCCATTTCTGTATGGTGGTTTTCTTTTAATCTTATCAAAATTATGTCTGAACACTTTCTTTTGTTTATCTTTCGGAATTACAACACCATCTTTAAAACTTTTTCTCTCTCTTCGTGAAGATCTGATAGATCTTTGTTAGATTCTTTATATATTTGATATTTTTTGATTAATTAAATCTGAGAACTAGCATTCAGCTGAGTGTTTTCATCCGTCTCTAAATACCTTTGCAGCAGTTGGCATATTTCATTTAATTTATTCGACCTGAATTTCATTATGTCTGCTGAAACTCTACCATCTTTTACAGAGCGTCTAACATAGTGTCTGATAAATAGATTTACGTGAGAATATACTTTTTCTCCTTTATATAAATAATACTAACCTTTAAGAGATAGAGCGAGAGCTGTTAAATTATTTATAATAGTTTGATTTATCAAAGATTTCATGACTTGATTGTATTTTATCAAACATGCAACTAAACAGTGTAAGTTTCACAATCCCATGCATACATAGTTTCCGGTTGTGGTGTTGGTGTATGGGTCGATGGATTAAATTCTGAAACAAGTTTTTTTCTATTTCTTTTATTCCAAGAATACTCAATCTGGGGTGTTTTTTTATATTTATAGGATATGAAGATCTATCTTTGGGATTATAAATTTGAAACGATGTTCCATATCTTTCATATATTATGTTTAGGAAAGGAATAAATATAATCATTGAACTGCTGTGTCAAATCACGCTTTAAAACAAAATTGACACATTTGATAAAACATGTTCCGTCAGTTGGAATATAACAATATTCTCCTTTATATTCGTTTATAATATAAAGCAGTTAAATTCCTTTTCCTATTTTAGATTTTCTGATTGGTTTGAAATTGTCTTTACGAAATATTAAGTGACCAGTAAAATACCAATCTGTATCATCTTATTTTTCAGTCATATTATTGACAGCTCTTTTAATCATTTTAACATTAAAAAACGATAATTAAAAATTTTGCTTAACTTTACCGTCTTAACAAATTGTGCATTGATTTCAATTTGACGTTAAAAAGTTTTAAATTCATCAATTATGTCAAGAATCACGTGATCAAATATTTCATTTTCAATTTTTTTGTTCGTCTTCTAGATCCTTTTTTTTCTCTACGGTTTTAGTCATGATTTACAGCAAAAAATTATTATTACAAAAGGATTATACTTTTTTCTTCAAATGTTTATACTCTTTTGTTAAATTCTTCGAGCTCTTATATTGTAATAATTTTGTCGGATTTACTTCGTTCAAAAAAGATAAATCATTTATCTTTTTATTAAATTTGTTTTGGTTTTGTAATACATTTTTAGAGGTATACCCAATAGTAATTAATCCACATGAGGATGTTTGAACAGTTGTAAGTACTCATAAGATAGCTGGAATAAATAATGGAGGGGTGATAGTAGCTTTTACTGCAGTTGCTATTGATATAAGAAAAGCTGATATAACATTTAAAGTTTTAAAAGCAGTGTCAATCTTAGTCCAACGAGTTTTTGATTTATTATAATGTTTTAATTCTTTTAACTCATTTTGTTTCGATATCGTAACATCTTGTAAATTTTGTGATGTCTGATTGATATCACCTATTTTTTATGAATTAAATTAACTCTATTCCTGATAGTCTCTATTATTTTTCAATAATACTCAAATTTTGAAAAATTAATCTACAGTTTAAAGTGAGGATGTTGTTACAAATAATTTATTTTATTAATAAAAATATTCTCAAAATCAAAATAAAACCTTATATATTCAAATTCTTTCCATTTTAAAAGTGTGTATGTTTCTTCCTTCTTGATGTAGTTTACTAATTATCAATTTACTAAATGCTGCATTTTCATCTTTTATTACTATTAATTCCGGGAGAAATAAACCATACATATAATTTGTTTTTCCAGTTGGAAAATTATATTTACAACGTTTTGAGAAATAATTACTGATTTTATTTTAAATTCAAAAGGAAATAATATAGTAATAATAATAAGTAATGTTAGTGTCAATTATTTTTTTATTTGGATCTAATCCATATGAACCAAAAAAATACATTGAACCCTTATCCCCTTTGAATAAAGCAGAATGATGAACGCCTTTTTGATCTGAAGTATGGATATTAGTTATAGCAGATGTATATAGATACTAACTTGAAAATTCAAGATAACAACTTGAAAATTCAAGATAATAACTTGAAAATTCAAGATAATAACTTGAAAATTCAATATACTAGCTTGAAAATTCAAGATACTAACTTAAAAATTCAAGTTACTAACTTGAAAATTCAACATACTAACTTAAAAATTCAACATACTAACTTGAAAATTCAAGTTACTAAATTCAAGATACTAACTTGAAAATTCAAGATACTAACTTGGAAATTCAAGATACTAACTTGAAAATTCAAGATACTAACTTGAAAATTCAAGATACTAACTTAAAAATTCAAGATAATTACTTGAAAATTCAAGTTACTAACTTGAAAATTCAAGCTATTAACTTGAAAATTCAACATACTAACTTGAAAATTAAAAAAAAAAAAAATGAATGGTCCTAATACGCTTCCGTAGGCAAGGCATAAATATATACAAAAATGAAATGAAATGAATGGAGTTTTACGTCCTACTTTTCTGCACCATGTGGGCTAATGAAGACGGGCGACGCCATGCAGGGTGCAATGAGGGAAATTTTGCCAGGACAGCGGCATTAGCCTGCTCTTTTTCGATTTCCAACTGTCGAAAGATCTTTAACGTGCACAGTCTGTAGCCTCGGTTTATTGTCCCGAACGACTAGACGCTTTTTCCATGTCAGCCCCTCGTACCTGCATCACTGACAGGGGGAAACCGGGTTGAAAAATCGAAGGTATTATCTCGACCTATGTCGGGATTGAACCCTGGACCTTCAGGTTAGCGAGCAAGCGTCTAACTCACTGAGCCACCGCGGCTCCCATAAATATATACAGGTAATGTATATGTAACAATGGGACGTAATGATCCTGTATATATTTATGTTTTGCCTCTATGGTACTTCATTTGTTATATTTTGTACACTTGATAACGACCAATGGAATCTTGTCCAAACGTCGTTTTTACAGATGAGTTATCATGCATTCATAATCATATCATTATGTTATCATCGCATATAATTAAGAGTTTTAACCAATTATATACAGTCTACATAAACAAAAAAAGACTTTTTGATTTATCTTGATCGGTCACTCATTGATGGTAATTCTCTTCTAATTTAGCTAATTATGAATTGATTATGGACATATGAGACAAACAGGTATTTTTCCAGGTCATTAGGACACCTTTTGAAAATAAGGGATCCCATCTTTAAGAAAGTGATTGTTATCCATAAAGACTAACTTCGTGTCAATCACTAAATGCCTATCAATCAATATAATGTAACTATTCTTCAGAATTAAGTTGAACTAAATAAATTCGTTTTGAAAATGAGTTTTTTGGTTGGAAGAGTATCTAAAAGTTGAAGCAATGCATTTTTTGTTAAAACATTGAATGTACTCTTTTAAATGGTATATATTATATTTTCCTTAAACAATGTATTTGTTGATTAATACAATTTCATGCGTATTGTGATAGTCTATATATTTTATCAAACGGATAAATTAGTATTAGACAGCTTCTTATTTGTTTTTGATGCAAATTATAAAATATTTATTTCCCGATTGTATAAACCGGTGGATGGCATATCTATGTATTAATATGTTGAAGAAGATATCCTTGCTGTTTTTGTTCGAGGGTTTCTGAAAGTCGAAGCAGAAAATATGTCTGACAGAACAATTTCATTAAATGACGTTTATAATATTCAAAATTCTTATTTTAATTAATGTGATAAGATGGCCTATATTTCCCTATTCTATAAAAAAAAACCCATTTAATCCAAGCAAAAATGTCCAAATTTGTCTTGTATCTCAACGTTAGTTGCTACTTACCACGCACGTTGCAAATAATTATTTAGGCTATTTACCAGATAAATTGCCTGGCAAATATAGATACCTCTATCGACTATTTCTTAAAAGCAAAATCCTGACAAACTTGCAGCAAACCCTGGGGTTAATTTTCAACCGCGCCACTGGAGTATTTTTTATTATTACAGGTCAGTTAAAGGTGCTCTTACGAAGAATCGGTGAAAAATACCCAAATTTAAAGATCCCCCAGGATGTGTTAGGAGAAATAAATGAGTTGAGGTTACTAGCTGGCCAGATCAGTGATACAGCCCTACCTTACCTGGCGGCCAGGGATACACGTTATTTCTTAAGTAAGTTTTCAATATTTTCACCCTTCGAAGCTCTTTAAGCAGAAATATTTAGTTCTGATCATCTGAGGGAGTCGTGCAGAATAGTTTTACCCTTTGATACAACAGAAAACACATTTGCTTAACCCTTGGTCATGCAATCAAGATGAAAAACACGTTTTACTCACAATTATTTAATATTTTTAGGAATAGGGTACACCTTGACTAAAAACTTCTGGGATTTAGATTACGATAGCAAGGATGTCAATGCTGATGTTCAAATATGGCCATATTCAAACAGAGAGGCCATCACAGAGAAAACCTCGGACGACTGTTTAACAGAATTCTTTGGAACTGGGTGAGATGAATGTTTACGTGTGTAATGTGTAATAAAGCAGTTAGGGTTAAAAGACCACGTCTGGCATTCTTCAACTTAGTGTTCATTGCGCTTTGGAAATACATTCCACCTATACTTGTTGTGACCCAGATACGGGTAAGGCTGGATTATTTTGCACAAATTTGATTACTTGTGCTCCAATTAGATTCCAAATTCAAGCAAAATTACTTAACAAGACGTAACTCTGTCTCTGTTAGAAAATTCGGTTAATTTGAACACAGTCTATCCATATTTTTCTAAAAACTGAATATAGTTCACCTGCTAATTTTTGTAATAATCGGGTGTATTAGCCAACACTATTCTTGGTGACAGGCGTGGGGAAGCTTTATGCAATGATAATTAATTGAATTAAAGACGCCTAAAAGGTTTAATGGATTAGTATAGGAACATTACCAACTTGATGTGACTATATTAGACAGATATGGTAAAGCTGGCATTAGGGGATTTGTGTCGCAAAATTAATTTTCTCTCAAAGACAAAAGGAATGGCTGATAATAATTGATGCCTTACGAAGACACCTCGGGAATGTTAACTAGATAACTAAGCCACGTCTTGTCTTAACCTACGAGTTTCATGTCCTTTAGGATCTTCTACAAGTTCTTATTCGACTTTTTCAATTATTGTCTCACCGTTTTAAAAATCCCACGAGGATTGAGACAACAATTCAAACCTTAATATTCTTTACAGTCCACAAGTTCTTCAATAAAATGAAATTTATTACAAAGAATGAATAACACTGTCAACAAAATAAAGATAAGTTGTACATGAAAAAACCCAATAAGATTGAATGATAATTTACAAAGAAAACAAAAATTATTCATGAAAATGAAACAAATACTTTACAATGTACAGATTAACAATTTTTTTTTAAATGAAATATACCAAACAGAACATTTTGATAAAACGGAACATTTAATTGTTTTGATGAAACGGGCATTTATTATTTTAAAGGGACGTTCCCCTTTTTTTGTAGGTTGGAATTTTTTTCGTGCTCAAATTTACGAAAACTATACACCAAAATCTAAAGAAATGTGCCTTTTAACGTATCTGGAAGTTGTAACTAAAAAAATCCAGCCGTTAATTTTTAAACGCCAAAAATGTTTAAATAATTACATTATTTTGATAAAACAGAACATTACATTATTTTGATAAAACGGAGCATTACATTAATTTGATTAAACAGAGTTGATGTTACGGAATGCAAACGATGAGTTCAAAATACACGTTGAAACAATTCTTATGGTCAACAAAACACGAAAGTTCATTTGTTCTGATATTATAAAAATATAAAATAAAGTATTTTTCAATCGTGTCAAAATCCAGCCATTAACATGCGTAAAAAACAATGATCGTACAAATTGTCAAACTTTGACGGGAGCGAAAAATTAAATTTACGAAACGAAATATATTTAAATTTAAATGATTAATATGGTAATAAAATGATATTCTATGACAGACCAGGGGACATCACATCGATAGGGATATCGATTAAACGATTATACATAACTGAAAGTTCGCTTAAACTAAAGAAAAAGTCACTACTTTTTGATCTAAAAAGTTACACATTCTAAACGTTATTACATGTCTTTTCTTTCACTATGTTTCATCAATAAAATGAGTTTGGTAACTGGACGATTCAAAATTGAACCATCAGCAAGTTTGACATCAACTATTCTAACCAAATTATCAACTCCAATATAAATTTATATAATCTCTGCTAATTTCCATTTTCCACGTTTATTGTTCTCATCAACAACTAAAACTACGTCTCTTTTCTCTAGATTATCCTTACAATTTAACCATTTCTGACGAGGAGAAAGTTTATGAATATTAGTCATCCAACGACGCCAGAATCCATTCACCATATGATTACAGAGTTCGCGACGTTTTCTAAGATTTACTGCATAATCTTCACAGGGTATTTGTGGCGATGTAAGATCACCTCTTCCAATCAGGAAATGATTAGGCGTAATATAGGGCTTATCTAATGGCGATGATGATTGAGCAGTAAGCGGTCTACTATTAGGTAATCCGGAAATCTGACAGAAAATTGTTTCCCATTCTATAAAGTTAAGTTTATCAGCAGATACCATGTGTTTCATTGATTTCTTGACTTCTTGAACCATTCTTTCTACAGCACCTTGATGATGTGGTCCAGCAGGTGATCCGAATTTCCAAGTTATTTTAAATCTTAAACAATTAGAGCGAGTTTGATCTTGATCTAATCGAAGTTGTAAATCACGCATTTCATTGTCAGCCCCTCTAAAACAAGTAGCATTATCACTGATTAACAGTTCAGGTGCACCACGAATACTAACAAATCGTTCTAGTGCTTGTAGGAACGCTGAGGTTGACAAGTCTTGCACACATGTAAGATGCACAGCCCTAGTTACTGTACATGTAAAAACAGCACAATGTCCTTTTGTGACCGTATTTCTATTAAGTTTAACATTCACAGGTCCTAAATATTCCACAATTGTAGCTTTGAAGGGCGGTGTACACGGTTTAATTCTGAAGTCCGGTAAGTCTGCCATGCGTTGTTCCATTGGTTTTCTTCTATAACGAGCACATACAATACATTCTCGTACAACTTGACGCAATAAATTAATATCACCAATAATCCAAAACTGTTTTCGAATTTCTGCAGCTGTGCTATAAGTACACTAACATAATGTTTGTTAGGAAGTAGATAAGGATGTCGGATGTCATAGGATAGTTGAGCTTTATCTATTCGTCCTCCAACTCTGTAGACTTGATCAATATCATCGTAGATGGGTTCCAACTTCATAATGTTGTGATCTTCATAAATAATATCATTCCGGGCGAATCGTATCCAGTATAATTCAGCTTCTTTAATTCGTTTATATGAAGGCCATTGAGCTAAAGTCTTGGTTAAATCTTTCAACTATCTACTTTTAGGTATATATTTTAAAGATAAAATTCTAGCAGTTACTATTACTAATTTTGTCCAACTAGAATATTGTTTCGGATCAATTATTGGAACGATATTTCCAATTCTGACAGCTAAAACTTTTTCATTTCTCACGTGGAATTTCTTCAATTCAACATCTTCACTGTTGACTGGAATGTAAGTAGGTGTTACAGGCCAAGTGCTTCTGCTCTGTGAAGGAAGTCAGGTCCGTCAATAACTCGTTTCATTTCACTGGCTTGTACTCCTCTTGATACTAAGTCGATAATATTCTGATCAGTAGGAACATACGATACATCTTTATACGGATCAAAATCTATTGTAATTTCACCAACGCGATAAGCAACATAAGATCGAAAAGATTTTGATTGACCTCGTAACCAGCTTATTGTTGTCATACTATCAGTCCACATTTTAACGTATTCGATTTTAAGTCTTAAAGAGTTGATAACAACTAACATCAGTCGGGATAACAACAGAATAGCTTGCAGTTCTTTGCGTGGTATACTCGATTGCTTCAAAGGCGTAAGTCTAGCTTTAGTACTAACAAATGTCAACTCGTCTCCATTGGACCATCTCATCCAAACTCCTATGCCCATTGCATCTTCCGAGGCATCAGTAAAACCATGAAGCGACATTTTAGGTAGTTTAGATTGTGCTTGACATTTCTCTGAAATTAAACGTTTGATTTCGATTGAATAAACATCTTGAAGATCTTTCTTGATCTTATTGAACACAATATATAAATCACTATCAGGGTGAATCGGATCATCCCAGTTAATGTCATACTGTCATAATTGTTGTAAAAGTATTTTCGGTCGTACTAATATTCCTGATAACATACCATAACCGTCGTAATACGAAGCAGTCATTTTGAGAATATTACGTTTTATAGGAACAAAATCTTTAAATAAAACTTTTACACTGAGAGTGTCTGTCTTTAAATTCCATCTGGTACCAAAGTATCGCAGAGAGTTGGCTTATTTGATAATCATTTGCAAATTTTAACATTTCCTTTTTCTAAGGTAGAAGTTAGATTAGATTTTAATCGTTGAGCTTCATCGGTTGACCGTTGCGAATCTGTGAGATCGTCGTAATATAATTTATTGTTAGCGATTCGCTGAATTTCAGGATCATCAGGAGCGTTTTCAGCAGCGACATGACGTAAGTCAATAATGGCTGCAGCAGGTGACGGTTTATCTCTAAATGTAACTGTTGTTAATTCGTACACGTTGATTGGGTCCTCTGGATGGTTACGAAATCAATAACGGTGAAATTGAGCATCGTCGGGTGCAATCATTACAGCTTGAAACATTTTACTAATGTCAGCAATTACACCAACTTCATATTCACGGAATCGTATAGCTATATCAAATAAATCTACATTTATATTATAACCTTAGCGAAATAATCATTTAAAGAGTGACCTTGGATTCCAGCTTTACCATCATAAACAACTCGAACTGGTGTAGTCTCCGAATCTTTAAGAACCCCAAAATGAGGTAAAAAACCCATTTTTGTACCATAAGCATTATCAGTATGCAATTCATATTGTGGAACTTCTCGTGCAACACCTCTAGAAACTTGATCATCCATTTGTTTGAAATAAATTTCCCATTCACGTGGACGATTTTGAAATTGTTTCTCCAAATTGATTAAACGTTTGACAGCATAATCGTAATTATTTGATATTCTAACGGCGATTTCTTCCAGGGTAAGTTAATCTGATAAATACCATCTTCTAATCTAGTAACGCTATTCTGCATCTATTCTGTTCGGTAGCTGATTTCTCTTCGGCGTCAATTGAACATTTGCAACGTCGAGGTTCAATTCCCATCCGTTCGATGCCGAGAAAATCTTCAATTTTACTTACGGCAGAAACTTGCGTTAAGTTCATAATGTTATTTTTTAGGTGTTTCGTTGTATTGACCTCCTTGAACATGCCATCGGGAGCCGCGGTGGCTCAGTGAGTTTGACGCTTGCTCGCTAACTTGAAGGTCCAGGGTTCAATCCCGGCATTGGTCGAGATAATACCTTCGGATTTTTCAACCCGGTTTTCCCCCGTCAGTGATGCAGGTAAGAGGGGCTGACATGGAAAAGCGTCTAGTCGTTCGGATGGGACAATAAACCGAGGCCCCGTGTGCTACAGCCTGTGCACGTTAAAGATCCCTCGACAGTTGGAAATCGAACGCAGGCTAATGCCGCTGTCCTGGCAAAATTTCCCTCATCGCACCCTGCATGGCGTTGACCGTCTTTATTAACTTCATGCAGAAAAGTAAGACGTAAAACTCCATTCATTTCATTTGAACATACCATCCTAAAGGACATTTAGCTGCGATAGGATCATCTCCATTTTCGGCTCCAAGTAGAATATCTATTGTTTCAATATTGTCCATATATGTTTTATATATACTTTTCTCGTAAATGCTCCATCTAAGCTCTCAATATCACAATCTACAACACGAAGTCTGTGGGTCTCAGTCGCACCACCAACAGTAGTTATTTTAAAGTCTTGTGTTTGACCATCAAATTTCTTTATTAACCCTTTCCATACCAGTGATAGCTGACTTCCAGAGTCTAACAAAATACGAACTGGAATCTTGGTGGATCCAAATTTAAGGTTAGCCATGACAGTCGATAGTACAGCTGGAATTCTGGGTAAGGTTTCAGAAATCTCGTTTACAGCGTTTAATGTCTTTGATACAGTGTGAGTATTAATTATCTTTGAATCAGTTGCACATTTAGCTTTCTTTAGAAGAACCAGTTGCGAATGTAGCCATCTGACGAGTCCAGAAAGAGTGTCTTCTAAACCTTCATCTCTGACACATTTTAAGTATGATATACGATGTTCTTCTGGAATTTGTGGAACTAGAACTCGTCCATTCAGATCTGCTGATTTCCCTAAAGAATCCATTTGCGACTCAAAGAGCTTCAACGAACTTTTCCATTGCAGATATATTAATGTGTCCTTTCGTATCATATGAATTCATTCTCTCTAAATCTGCAAGTAAAGTTTCTACGATTTGATCATCATCCCCATAAAATTCATCTAAAATTTCCCATGCTCTAGTCGTACTAATGCAAGATTTCATTTTATTCTTTTCTCTGGCTTTCTCCATTGATTCCACTAATTGGTAAAAAGCATTCATTTTCATCCAAATGCTGTGAGTAGGAAAGAAATTGTTTCTTAAATAATTTGTAGTCTCTCAAATCTCCAGAAAAAAAAGAACACTTAAGTTTGGCTAGTCGAGCATGTGACGATACGGGTTGGTTGGATCGGTTGATCTGGGGTTGAATAGTAGTCGTTTAGCACAACGTATTAAATCACGAACGATTGGCATGGCGTTGTCTTCTCTTTAACTTGATAAAAGAGAACATTGCATTGTTTTGATAAAACGGAGCATTACATTAACTTGATTAAACAGAACATTTCATTGTTTTGATAGAACGGCTATCCCTTCGTCCGACTGTAAAAGGGAGAGTCCATCTTTAACGAGATTAGTTATTATTCTCTTGGCCTTTCCGCGAAGCATTTTAACCTAATCTGACAGTGCGTGGAGTTTCAAAAGACATACTGGGTTAATACAGCAATATAGCACGTTGATATTTATAAGGAATGTAACTTCAGTTGTAAAACGGTGATAGACGATGAAAACAACTAAGTATTCAATATAAACAAAGATGACGCCACTATATGTCCAAAGCGGGAGATAACTCACCACCACGTTTTCTATTGTCGATGGAATGAAAACGATAAATTTCTTCTTACTGGATTGTCCATTGATTGAAAAAGATGTTACGGAATGCAAACGATGAGTTCAAAGTACACGTTGAAACAATTATTATGGTAAACAAAACACGAAAGTTCATTTGTTCTGATATTATTGAGCAAAAGTTATATTATAAAAATATAAAATAAAGTATTTTTCAATTGTGTCAAAATCCAGCCATTAACATGCATTAAAAACAATGATCGTACAAATTGCCAAACTTTGACGGGAGCGAAAAATTAAATTTACGAAACGAAATATATTTAAATTTAAATGATTAATATGGTAATAAAATGATATTCTATGACAATTACATTATTCTAATAGAACGAAACATTACATTATTTTGATAGAACGGAGCACTACATTAACTTGATTAAACAGAACATTACATTGTTTTGAGAACGGAGCATTACATTAATTTGATTAAACAGAACATTAAATTATTTTGATAGAACGGAGCATTACATTAACTAGATTAAACATGACATTACATTATTTTGATAGAACGGAGCATTACATTAACTTGATTAAACAGAACATTACATTATTTTGATACAACGGAGCATTACATTAACTTGATTAAACAGAACATTACATTATTTTGATAGAACGGAGCATTACATTAACTTGATTAAAGAGAACATTGCATTGTTTTGATAAAACGGAGCATTACATTAACTTGATTAAACAGAACATTTCATTGTTTTGATACAACGGAGCATTACATTAACTTGATTAAACAGAACATTACATTATTTTGATACAACGGAGCATTACATTAACTTGATTAAACAGAACATTACATTATTTTGATAGAACGGAGCATTACATTAACTTGATTAAACAGAACATTTTTGATGAAAGTTGTCATATACGGTTGGTCTTTTCACAGATCTTTACCATCGTATTGATATCCTCAATTTGTATTGACTAAAAACATTTTATGGGGCTTTAAAGATATAACAGTGCCGATTTTACTGAAAAAACTATGAATTATTTTACTTCTTTTTTAATTAACACACTGGTTCAAGTCTCAATGATGATTAAAAAAAAGTCTGGCAACAGAAAAATTCCATGAAGCTGTAAAGTTATAGATTTCTATTAGGGAGAGGCCATTACATCTTTATACTTAAAACTTGAAATTTCATTTAAGATTACGTTATAGTTCTTATATACAAAAACTTAACCGTATAGATGCCATGTTATAATTTCAGTCAGAATAGTGGTGAAACCTGTTTAATATCTGATGAATGTTGGAGAAAAATGACTAAATTGGGTTATAATGGTTATTCCTTAACTCACGAAGTTTTTTATTTACAAATAGGAAAACAGGTAGGCCCCAAGAACTAAATTACCGTAAAAGATATGATACATTAGTGATGAAATATTGTTCTCCTTAAAAGCTTTGAGCATATTAAATTGTGCAGGAGAATGATACTCGAAGCCGGCCACAACAGTTCGTTTTTTTTTATCTAATTGTAAACGACATGCACGTCGTATTTTCATTTTTAAAAGTACTATAGGTAGATAAATACGACTATATCTCTCTCAAATAAAGCTCCGTCTGATTATATTTTAAGTTTGGGTGTAAAAAAGAAATGGAGAGGAAACTGAAAGAATATAATCAGGAATCAGTGGAGAATTTAGAAGATATTTTCTGTACCGTGATACTAAGTGAAGCTAATAAATATTCTCAGGACCATTTCCCTCATTATAAACACGATTTATTCATGGAACAAGGTAACTAAATCTGTTAATAAATACTCTAACTTTATTACAATCAATGGGCTTCTCTTATTATTATCATTTATTTGGTTTGTCTGATCAGCCATGTACATGTCGTCTGCAAATAAGGATAACATTTTGCCGACTTAAGGTGCTTTCTTTCTGATCACGATGCAGACTTTTTCGACACCTTACAAATAGTTTCGATTTATTTTTGGCTATTACAGGCTTTATGCTTATTAATGCTAACTTACAGTATCTGTATTGTTTATTACCACAAAGTGATGATTCTATAATATTTCTTACACATCTGATGTTATAGAACTATCTGGACTATGAAAAACGTAATGAATATTTACATTGTAATGAAATCTTGAAATCGGTACAACCCGTGTAAAGGACGAAGGCAGATCACATACTCCATTACTGATTTTGATATGTATTTCTATTGAATTCAAAGTCGTCGACCTTAATTGAAATCGTATCATGTTACGATTTTTGAATAGTGTGACATGTTGTTTATTATTCACGGTCGAAATTTGGTCATAAGGAGCAGTACATAATGCCGAATTCCATGAGATGAAAACAGGATCTATTCTTAACATAAAAATTAAAATTGTGCCAAACTAACTACTTTTGTTCACCTATAGTTGATATTGCATGCATCCCTGGATCGTTTCTGAAGTATCTTCAGTGCCCTATACGTTGTTTTTCCGAAGTAGCCTTCTGCTATTAAAAAATTACTTCCAATTGCACATTTAGCAACAAACTTTGCTAATTTTTTTTATAATTTTTCATTTTACAGCTGCTCTGTGCGGGATGCTAGGATATCGTCAGTTCTTCAACACACCCTGGTTATTAGCTATCCTAAGTTGGCAAGATCCACGATATGGTTGTTATAGGGCTGCCTCGGATGAGATTCTACTCAAAGAAGGTAAATTTGTAATTGTTTATGTGAATTTGTTGTGAATGATGAGCATTGATCAAATGTATTGTAACGATTAAACGAACCAAAAATGTAGATTGCGACACATTCCCAAAAATTCTCTAAGAAATTCTTTGGTTTTTAATCTGTTGTAACAATTTTGTATCAAAAGAGACGAAATCTTACTATTAACTTTTGGAAAAACGAGACAAACTGAGTGGTAGAAAATGTATAATAATGGAGCTTCATCTTTAATCATGTTTTTGATAATAAAAGAAACACCAAACAATGGAGACTGGATAACGCCATGCAGTGTGCAATAAGGGAAATGTTGCCAGGACAGCGATATTAGCGTGCTCATTTTCGATTCCATCAATTCCAAATGTCATTAGGCTAAGCATGTGCAGAAAAGTAGAATATAAAACTCCAATTTCAATCATTTCTGTTTCAGATGGTCACCGTATAAAAAGAGAAGAGAGACGGTTGAAAAATCAATGTTTAAGTCATCGTACAACAGTAGCAGTGGCGGCATTAGGGCAATATGTTCGTTATATTCTCGAAACTTGGGCAGACAACCAGAAAATCAATCATTGATAAAATATGATAAGTAGAAGGACTGGATCATCTTGAGTTATGGACCAGTCGGCAAAATATAACTTTTGAACCAGCAAACTATTATTCTGACTACTTATTAAACGAAAAAAGCCATAAAGGGTCAAAAGCACTTTGATATTATCATAAAACACTTAATTAGAACTACAGACGTCCGGAACCAATTAAAAGCGGACAGCCGCCCCCTCCCCCACCCCTCGCAGCCCTGAAAGCAAGTTTCGGGCAATCTCAGATATCTCGCCCCCCTTCGTTTGACCGGCTTGGTTCCGATTATATTGGAATCAACCTTTTCACTGTAGTTACTTAATTTATTGATTATGTTTTGTATATTTTATTGAACACAATAAAAATATATTTCACCTACATGGCTGTGATGATTTTAGATCGTACCGTCCAGTTCACCCAGTATTATCAGAATACATCTCATTGAAATACATGATTTTAATTTTTCTTTCAACCGTGAATTCATTAGGCCTATAGGCTTATTTACGTCTAAAGCCCCTTTTATACCAGGCCGCTATAAAATGTGCCCATTTATATCTGATGAAAAGCGTTCTCAACACGGTTATATGTGGAACTCTTCTCGAAGAAGTTAAAATTAACCTTGTCACGGTGATGTTATCGAAGACATCTGGATGTAGGCTAATTAACAATTAATAATGACGAAATTCGAATCCGCGGGTAATGGTGAATGTCGCTTGTGAGGAATAGGCAGGAAATCGTTCTCGGAACGGTTACCGTTTACATTTCATTTCCGTCTGTGAACCGTTCCGAGACACCTCACCGAGATGGGCCAGAATTGAAACAATTGAAGTTCTGTTAATATTAATAAAATATTGGCAATGTGGATAAAATAACGTCAATGTAGGCTATATCAACGTTTCAAGTGCCTGTGGAACTGAAATAGGATTACTCACAACAAATTTACGCATTCAATGTTTAATGCTTCTTTTAACAGGGGATCATTAATATCACATAATTATTTTATATCAAAGTATGACCAGAGAATCCAAAACAGGCTCAGTTGGTCTTGGGTGCTTTCACAAAGGTAGGCTAGGCCAATGTCGTCCCATTTCCCAGTAAGACCAGTTCATCAAAAATTCTGGTGATGAGCCAGACTTCAGTGTACACATTAGTTAGTCCTAGCTTCTGTACCTTACACCAGGTAATCTGAGTCGGGTGATAAAAACAGGCATGTGTGGAAACGTGTACTCCCAGACAGCAATAACAGCATCGATTGCTGCCTTCTCTATAGCCTATAGGCCCTATATGGTAGTTGGATCCCCTCCATCAAACCATCACTTGTGAAAAGGCGCCTTGCACTAATCCCCTCCGATCATTTGTGAAAAAAAAATCCGTAGGTCTTGGAAATTGAATATGAACAGAAAAGAAAATGGCGGAGAGCAATTATCCAGCGAGCAACTGTCTTATTCATTTCATACAAATTTTCTTTCCAAAATTAGTTCATTCCGTAATCAGGGTATTCAATATTTTCGACATCTTTCTGGGTTTAATGGTGATGATAGGCTTTTAACAAAGTAAACACAAACTACCCTAACTCATTCATTATTCATATTTAAATGTATTTCACGGTTGAGTTTTAAAGACTAATAAAAATATAAATCAATCACGAAACGATTCTCATAAAATAACTATCGATTTTCTGACTTTAAACTTTTTTTCGGGGGAAATTTCAAAATGAAGAGTAACGAAGGGTGATGTGGTTTACTTTTACACTTGTAAATTATTCATAGCTTGCCTTATATGTTGAAATGTTATACGTAAAAATCATGCATTATCTGATATAGTCTATATGTGATATGGATATGGGGGGATGGTAGTATAGACCTAGATATAATTAGATTAGCAAAATGGAAGGATGGTCTATATGTTACCAAAATCACAAGTTAATTACCTCAGGCCTTATTTTCACAAATTTAAATTAGATAAATCCAGATTTTAAGAAATTTTAATCCTAATCTGATTGGATAATAAAACTAAATACAAAATCAATTTTAGTGATTGACCAATCCGATTACTTGAACACGAGATTAAGATCTTTGGATATATATTTTGAGCAATTGCTCTTGGATTATTCATTCACCAACAGGAAACATGAAGACCGTTGTGAGACAGGATGGATTTGGATGATCACAGGGTTGACTTAAAACTAGTGTTCCGTAGGGGGTTTCTTATTTGATGTGGAGATTCTAAAGTTCACCCATGCTTTATTCATATAATCCCTCTCTCAGGTCTCCCCTTATTTCCAGTCCCCGCGAGAGACGGTTAAGCAACTATCTCTGATTAGAAGGGAAGTAACTCATGTTAAGGGTCTAAATCAGACCACAGTATGCACACAGACGTTCAAGACATAAACATTGGAAAAACAAATTAATTGAGGTTACACCTTATTCAAAAGTTGAAGATCCACAAATTGTTCAGAGGATGAACATCAAGCTACATGTTTTAGGGTTAAACAAGAAAAAAAAAATTACACATTAAACAATTTTTATTTTCAGTATACCCATCATGATTATTTCAATAAATTACAAAAAAATCCCACATCATTAATCAAGACAACTTAGATTTCCTCCATTCTTCAATTTTGAGTTTAAGATCAGTTTGAGGTACTACCATATCCATGGTTAATGGGGCTCTGTTGAAAGGGTCTGATTGATCACTGAAATGTAAAACACAAAAGGGAGCATAGTGTAAATAGCATATCATTAAGGGTTTTTGCAGGTCTTTAATTTATTTGTTTTTGGTCCATTTTTATCATTACTATTACAATTAAAATTGACATGATGACCAGTGTTTTTTCTTTAGTCTTGGCGTAGAGCCAGTTTGTAGGAGTGCCTTCTGAGAAATATATCAAGGCCCATAGCTCTTGGAAATTATGAATAATCAGACCACACAAACCTTAATATGTGTCTAGAAATAACAGCTCTATCAACTATAGTATTAGAAGTTGGTAATAACACAGGGTCTTTCATCAAACTGCCTAAAATAGGATCTAAAAATTCTTCTGGTGCCTCTTCTACTAGGTCATCTTCTGCTTGAGTTTTTTCTTGCATGCCCTGAAATATCATATTAGATACTGAGAATATTTTTCAGATGATCAATCATTCAATTTACTATCAATTCCCTTCAATCCAACTTAAGCTGTTCAAAATTGAGCTGCTCAAGTACCTAGATTTCTCTTTGTTTGTAAAAAATGCATCCATCCAACATTAAGTTACATTATAATAAACTGAAAGTGATGTTGAACTGGCTGGAAACTCTGAGTACAATTCAGATTCTAACAGGTTTATTTTGCAAGAAACCAAGCACAATTTTCCTCTAACCATTCAAAAAAAAACCTACCCTAATTTTATCATCTAAACCCAGAAAATCACTAATAACGACAGGGTCGGTGCCTATTTTCTGTAAAACCTGTATTGTTTTAGGAAACAACTCTGTTGAATAAGATCGACCATCATTTGAAACAGCCATACAAAAATCATCATTTTCACCCAAATTTAAATAAATTTTACAGATATCTGAGACAATTTGTTGAGGTTTGAACTCATAATCATTTTTATCTTTAACATTAAAATTCTTCTGTTTAGGTCCAACCTGGAATATAAAAGAAATGTTTTTTTTTTAAAAAGAAATAACATAATTTGCTTTAAAGTCCTTTTACAATGTGGACCTGCAATTCAGTAGGTACATGTATATCATAAAATATGCATATATTTCTAAATACCCCTACAAATATATCTAAATCTCATCAATAACTTCAATCAATTTGCGTCTGTAACGTGTTGTCTTTAAGAAATATATGAGATATTAAGTTTGAGTAGGAACCCCTTATCATCTTTTGCAGTTCACCAAACCTGACTGAATGCAAATTTACCAGGCATACTTTCTGGGGATCAAATAACTAAGAAGAAAAAAGAGGATCTAATTCTTACCAAATGAACTAAGAAATAATTCAACATAGCTGCTATTCTGTCTACCATAGTATTATTACAGAATATACTCTTAATTTCCCTTGTTAATAACTCTAACGAATGAATGGTGTAATTAGCCATAACGTTGTGATAACGAGCTATATTGCCCAGTAGTTGAAAGTTCTGTTCTGTTTGTTGTCTTTGTCTTGATTCTAAATTCTCCCAATCTCCTCGTTCTTTCTCTTGTTGTTTTTCCTTAATTTGCATCATATACTACAATCAGAGAATAGAGATTAAGGATAAGAAAAAGGCCTATTTTATAAAGATTCTGGCTATGGTAAAAAAACATTCTGCAAAAATCTTTCCTACATTATTTGTATTCTACATGACTTTTGAAATGAGTCAAAAATTAAATTTTTTTTAAGATCTTTTGGATGATACTGAAAGTTTAAGATCTTCTTGTTTGGATTCAAAAGCAAAGTTCTCATATTTAATTGAAATAAAAAAATTCCCTCTCATGGTAACAAAACAAATTCTAATTATCATAAAACAGAACTAAGACTTACCGATAAGGCTTCATCTAATAAAAATATGGCATCATTAATTAATAAATTTATAAATCTTAAAAATAATGGTGCTTCTGGATATTCTATGTTTCTCTCAGCATAGTCAGATAATTCCTGAAAATATAAAAAAATATGCAAACAACTGGATTAAATATTTTAATCTTGAGCATCTCAAAGCCCAACAGGAAACAATCTATTTTATTACAACAAATTCTTACATGGTTTCATTGAGTTTTACATCCTCACTGCACCTGATTGAGCTAATGAAAAGATGATGTCTACAATAAAATACATTTAACAGAAGATCAAGGATTCCATCATGGCATAGGTCAAGATAATACCTTTGGATTTATCGACCAAATCTGTCAGTGATGCAGATCAGAGGGGCTGACAAAGTTGCTATTTGTCTGGATTGGACAATAAACAAACACCCTGCGTGCTATAGGCTTTAAAATACGAATCAATTGTAGAAAAGTGGGGTGTAAATCTCTATGGCTTACCTTAATAGCTTGCTTATGTACATCAATATTCCAGATATACTCTAGTACAATATACATTGGTCTACGATAGTTAAACTTCTGTTCAAACTCTACACTCTGTCCAGTCATCTCAATACTCACAAATACATGTAGTAATTTATCAGCTAAATGATCTATTAGTTCATGTTCACTGAACAACTTCTCTCTATGAAATCTGAATTTGAGATAATAGAAAGATTGATAAAATAAAACTTACAACAATCACATTGTGCAAGTAGTGTCAATATCCTTTTACCTACAATCAAAATCTCCTGAATGTCAATCTCATTTACAAAGAAAATATAGATGTTCTTTTTGTGTTTTATCTGCAGGTAACTTCCATTTTTCATTTTAGATCTGACAAAATTTATCTTACAATCACGTTCAGTTGAAATTTTGCGTCAAAGGTTGTCAAACCTTTTACAAAGTTATAAAAAACACTGTTGAATTTGGGTAGTATTTCAAATGTATTAAGAGTACTGAACTTTGACCCACAAATGATGCATATACTAATAGTTGTGAATAAAACCTTTGTTTACTAGTGCCAGCCATTCATAATAATGATACTAACCTAGCTAACAACCCCCCTCCACCACTTTTAGAATTAGGATCTGGTGGCATTAAAGATGATAAGGTATCAGCTAGTTCAGCTCGGAGATGTGGATTATTCATTCTTTCAGGATTTCCCATAAATACCAGGATTAAAGTCATAAAATATTTCACTTTTTCTCCTGCATACTGTAGAAAAAAAAAGAACAGGATTTAAAAAAAAAAATAATATTTTAACATTTAATATAAGATGTTTACTTAACCAATGAGTGTGTTTACTTATGCACATATGAAAGTTAATGCATGAGATGTCAATGTCATTGAAAGTTTAGTTCCATGTTTAGTAAAACTCCATTCATTTCATTTCATTTCTAAGTTTAGTACAGTTAAGTTATTTCACAAAATATTGAAAAATAGATGTTTATCAATTTGTCTAAAAAGGCAACCTAAAACTACTATAAAGATCTCTCAGAATTTAATAGTTACTGTATAATGTGAATATTGTACGCAGTAAAGCCCCAGTAAGGCTGTAAAAATACCACTCACTGTAAATAGTGGTATTCAGTTTCAGCAGCTTACCTCAAATAATTCATCTTGGAATCGATGAAGAAATAGAATAAAATCATTGAGATTTCCCATGACAAATTCTGGTATGAGTTTTAAACTATGTGGTACATGTTGTGGTAAAGGTAATTTTACTTGCTGCATTTCACTGACTCCATCATCTATTGCCATCTGACTCAACCACGTGGCTGTAGCTATATGTAGATTTAAACTCATCTCTAATAGCTGGGGTATTGTCAAGGCTGCTTTCATACTCAGAAATAATGTCATACCTACAAATTGAAGGATTTCATTTCATTCATATGACACTCATACAGAAAAACATAGTGAACATAATGTTGTTAATTGTTAATCAATATCATCATAAAAAACAAGATGGGGTCATTTTTATTTCGATAAAGGCTTCATCATCAAACACAGAAACAATTCTGCCAAAAATTCTAACCTACAAAGTAAGCTTATGGTATATAGTTCAAACATTGATTTGTTTAGTAACAGTACATACATTCCAATTCTGAATGTTTTCCCAATACATAAGTAAGCCTCTTATTTTGTTCATGCCCAATACTGATGATTTAAATTTGTCAACAAAAATGGCACTTACCCTTTTCCATCTGTGCTTTGATACTTCTTATAGGTTCTACATCTTCACTGGCTGCCTGTGGGCGGACATCTTGATATAGTCTTTGAACTCGATGTAGATCTTGATTTAATTTAGTAAATTTAGTATGGACCGTGTGAAAACCTAGGTTGGTACACTGTTGAGCCATAAAGAAACATTCAGTTATAAAATTGTATGTTTCTGTATTATCAATATTGATATCTTCACCTTCTTTCACTGGTATTAAACATGTTTCTTCCTTTAAACCTGTGGATACACAAATATAGACATTGCGACTACTAAACTATTGAACTAAGCCAATATTGTTAGAGTTAAGGAAAGATCAGCCATAAAATTACGGTTCTGTACATTAGTCTGAGATATCAGAAAGGAAGCCAGCCAACAAAGCATTTGTACAAAACTTTAAAACTTTCTCTAACCCTGCTAGATTCATTTACATTCTTAAGAAACAAAAATGGTGGAAATCTGTGGGCTCTCTTAAGAGAAAGTAAAAAACATATTTTTTTAGAAAAACCTTTTCCAAAAAAAAACTGTATGTGTGTATGTCACATTAGAGCAGTACTGAGCGCTATACTAAGTTCAATAATCTTAATCTTAATAGTGGGAGCACAGGATATCCCTCTTAGAATGATAAAAAAAAAAACTGACACATACTGACCTCCTGAATGGATTCCACGAGTTTTTATATCATTTTCATCAGAGCTAGTAGCTTTAACATAATTACACTGTATCTTCAACAATTTCACTGACATCGGCTCACAAAATGGCTGACATAATTTTAGCAGAAGATAATTGAGATTCAAACAAAATCCTTCAGATGAATACAATTGGTTGAACAGTTGTGGCATCTGATTGGACCATATTTTTGTTCTACCTGAAATCATAGAGTTTAAACCAATCAAATAAACATAAAATATACTTCAAATTTTGGCTATTTGCATTACTTACAGTCATAGCAGTTGTAAATGTAATTGCGTCATTCATTAACGCTGTTGAACTGAAATTTATAGTCAAGGTTAAGTATCTCAATATAAACAACCCTCAACTTATATAGATTGATTTCTAGTCTTTGTATGTGAATCGAGTATACTTATAGCTTCAATTACGACATCCCATTTATGTGTGCACAGTGTGTCATGTAATTTTAAAATAAATTGACCAAACATGATATAAATGGCATTTGTGATAGTGATGTCATAATCTAGTCATGAATTAAGCTGTAAGCTGTAACCAATACTCATACACAGACTAGAAAACTTCTTTACTAAAACAAAAATATCTCCCTTTAATAAGTAATAATATATCAGTTACCTTGATTAGCCTCGAGACATTTTCCAATCCATTTTAAAACTAAATGTTTGATGTCTGCTGAAACTTTGATTAATGAATAAACTAATAAATGAATCTTCTCATTTAATGTTACCAACTCCTGAAAAGCCAAAATAGAAAAACATGTGTAATGTACATTCATTGATGGAAGCACATCTTTAGGAATTGCATTTCTAACAAAATTTTACACATACACATAATGACAATAACAAGTATACGATTATCAAAGTAAAGAGCTTTGACATAACTCAAACAATAATATCAAAAGCCTTGTAGGATCCCTGATAACTCCAGTTGCATGAAAGTATCAGGAATGAACGAACGCATTAATATATCACAGAGCAAAGCATTATGAAATCAGGGCCCTGAAACGATTATTTTTTCTCTCTGAAGAAACACAAACACATAAATTATAATAATCATTTAGCAATTAAAGAATAGGGAATAAAGTAACTCACCGCCCAGATGTTAGACTCTGTATTATCATGTATATGTTTCCTATATGATGATGGATCATTAAAGAAATCATACGGTCCAGCTTCATTTTTTGGTATACATGTCAAACTTAACATAGAACCTAATAATGTTGTCTCATATGATTTACCACTCTTCCAATCTTTAGGGGAATTATACTTCATAAATGACTACAATTAAATCACATGTATAGAATTTCAAATTTCAAAAGACACCTTCGTCAATTGCTTTGACCTATGTGTGGACTTGGTGATAAATGATGGAGATAAAAGGTGCATACTCAGAAAAACAAAACATGATTAAAAAAGTGTTTCAAAAAGAATTTGAATAAAAATCAACACTTAATCTAAGATAAAACTCTTAGAAGATGTTCAGCGAGTTTGCATACTTTGTTCCTATGCATAAAGTTCTACATGGTACTGAAAAGATAACCTCAATTTTCAAACTAGCTGTGCTGAAGAGGATTGAGTATCCTAAACACTTGTTGGCAGCATGAGTTAAGGCTTATCTAACTCTTGTCAATAACAATCAGACAAAATCAAAGAAATTATTATCTTACCAGAGCTAGGGCTGGAAGTTTGGTAAAAAATTTACATAAATGAATATATTGTGTCTTATCTGCACTGACTAGCACCATTTTAGTAAATTTGTCTTTGATTAGGTCGAATATAGGGTAGGTTACATCATCTATATTACAATCTCTATCATCTATTATAGACTGTAATACTTGTAGAAAATATTCTGTTATATTACTGTTATCATCACCTGAAACAAGGGCAAGAACTCTTCTTAGAAATTTTCATAACTAACAATAGCTATGGGGATTCACAAAAAGATTCAACAGTCCCTTAATTATACTCTAAATAAATTGAAGAGAACATCAATATCAATGTGACTGATCTAATTTAGGTAAATTCTATCTGAAATTGTTTTATTTCTTTCCAGTCAAATTATCAAGAAAATGACACTAAAGGCTGAAATATCAACATTACATAACCTTACTATTACTTGCAAATCTAAAAACATATGAGAATTTCACACACACACACATACTGCATATAAAAAAATCAAATCAAGAAGGTCTAGATTAAAATATCAGCAAAATTGTTCTACCTACCAAAAATTGCCCCTGATTCCAACAGGTAAAGATCTATAAATTGTTGGTATAAATTTTGAGAAGGAAATAATTCAGTTTGTAATAAACATGTTTTAGTATTTAATATTATTACATTTTTACATTCCTTTAAACATGGCTTTAATTCTTCTTTCTGAAATATATAACATTATGGCATATTGGATTATATTCTCTTGAAATTCTGAGTGAGAACATCTTTTAATGAAAGATGCAAAGTGCATAATTACATAGCTGTGATATTCTTTTATGAGAACTGCTATTTGGTAAATGTAAGATTTTGAAAATTAAAGTCAAATATTAGAGAGCAGAAATAAAAACAGACATAGAATTGTTAACAGTAGTGGCACAAATAGATAAATTAACCAAATAAATTGTGAAAAAGACAAACAGATTAAGTATGACAGACAACTAACCTGAGAATTGAGTTGTATATTTATTAATCTATCATAACATTGAGATAAATAGTTTAAAACTAATGGTTCATTGGCTGTTAAATTACTGGATGTTGAGGGAACTAAAAACTCTTCTGGTGATTCTATCATTAATCTTTCAAATACAGCCTAAAAATAATGTATATAAAATATCATTAATTGTTCAAATAATGCCCATAATAGAAAAAAGATATGTTAAGTCTCTTAATACCTGTATCAAGTGCTGTATATGGTATAACTATATACAATTGTACAATTCTTTTTCATAGAGAACCAATTTTTGTTAATAGCATCTCAAATCTTTTCAAAGCTCTCTAAATTGCATCTTTACTTAGAAATTGTAAACTCAATTAAGCCATTATTTTGATCAAATATAAAAATAAATATAAAATCTTCAGTAGATTTGATTAAAATTATATTAGTAAGAATTCATCTGAGCAAAAGGAAAATTCAAGTAAACAACTGAACATATTATTTTATAGATAATATGAATGTATAAAACATATCTTACTTGTGATAGATTTTCCATGTCTAACCATGTTTGATCAGACAATATTTCAGCTAATTCTTTTAAATGAGTACATCCTTTCTTCCCATCATCATAATCTATAAATAAAAACAAATCAGACTAACATTCAAAGAGATTTTATTCAATGTTCAAATCAAGGAATTTAGATAATTAGATAAAAAATATTTTAGAAATGACAAGTGGTGTGTATGTGCACAATATTTAATTCTCATATTTTTTCTGTGAAAAGTGTGCATCTCTATGTATGTTACTATTACAAATTGATTACGATTTGATTACCTATTTGACAAGATCTCAGATTCATGTTTCCAATTTAAATCAAAATCAAGTTTTGGGCTTTACCTTTATCTAATGTAAGAAGAAAAATATCTTCTATCAGTTTATTGATCTCTAGTTTAATCTCTACACTCTGACCTTCAGTAGGACTTCTCTCAGTGTTACCTGTAATTTATAGAAGTTCCATCATCAAATTTAATGACCAGCATTAAGATAAGAAATATCAAAACTGGTCCGTACAACTATAAAATATTCAATAGAACTGGTGCAGAAAAAATAGTAAGCTTACTTTACCGCCAATGGCTTTTGCTACAGCATGTTTCATTAATTTTAGTTTTCATTTACCTTTTTCGATATGTTTTTCACTACTAAACTGTTGTGCTTCTGATAAACTAGGAAAAAGAGCTGCAAAGGGATTTTCTACCAATCTTTGATTATTTTCCATTATGAATAACTGTAAACATAGAGGAAATGTTTCTATATATACGAGTTGCTGGCATAACTAGATTTTCCACAAAATGGCGTAAATTTGCGAGTTAGTATTAATTCGCGATTTGATTCTATTTTTCGTCATATTTAGATGAGAATCTTTCAACTGCTTTACAAATTCGTAAACTAATTCAGAATCTGTTAACTTCAAGAAAAGACAAGTCATCTTTTAAACTTTCAAAAGTGGATAATTCTGGGCAAATGTGAAGGCTCAAATTTCAAAGGTGAGCTGTGAACATTATTAGCTTACTCTCTGACTACATTGAGCTTTGAATTGAATGTTTTATCTCATTTCATAGATATTCAATATAAAATTTTCAACTGTATACCACTTGTCTTAGACTGTCATCGGGTCCATAGAAATATAAGGTTCAGTGATTTTACATCTGAAATAGACATACTTCCCTCCCAGAAAATTCATGTGAAAATTTACAAACAATAACTTTTCCAGTGGTTATCACTTTCACAACCCAAAGACAACCTAAGACTCTCAGTAGTATTTTGTAGTTTATATTTCAATTTATATGAGAAAGATTCAGTAAAAATTATAGACAGAGCATAGCTACAAAATTCTGATTTCTGAGACTAGATTGAAACATCTTTCTCTATTCCAGCCTCTGATAGCTATTATACAGATGTGTATAGACAGAAAAAAAAAGGACCTGTTAAATGGGGACTTTCCGCATCTCGGCAGGTGCAGGGTTTTAAACCCTATTTAGATACCTAGAATCTGCAAAACCCAGATATATTTAGAAAAATGAATATTTTTGTAGTTCAGTAATACTATTATTTTCTCCCTACACTATTCATGTCACGTCACCCGTTCTATCAAATTTTTTTCAACCAAACTCATCTTGCATCAGCCATTTAAAACTGCTTGCACAGCCCAAAGTTCAAAAGTCACAGACTACTAACAAAGCAAAAGATGCCCAACACTAATTTACAGTCATTGCAAAAGTAATTAAAACCCCCATTTAACAGGGACTATTTTTTCTGACTCTACTCCGGCCAGCAACTTTCAAAATATCCATCATATAGGCTGGATAGGCAGATGTTTCGGATTATGTCATTTCTAAGACTAAGGTACGATTGATCATACAGATGGCAAATCTATCCCTTAAAATTTGCTTGACTTTTGTTAGAAACATGTGCCTGTGCCCAAGAGGTGTTTGTCACTGGAACCGAGTGGAACTGAGCTGAACACGGTCACTCTGCAGTCTCATTGCCATAGACTCATAGAGAGTAAGTTCAGTAAAAACTTTTTTGTAGGGCATGTGCAAAATCTACAGGGCTTAGATCACCACAAATTGATACAATTTGTAGACCGTAACTTGCACTTACATGCAAGGTAAAATAAATTGGTAAACAGAACTTGAAAAATGATCAAATAAGGTAAATTTTCACATCAGACATTTTTTTCTGTCGCCATTTTTAACTCTTCTTCACAAAAAAGTCGCAAATGGTCTGAAACCACGTGGCAGTCATGTGACTCTCCTGTCAAAAAGCAGACGACGCTGTCAGAAATAAAACTGACTGGTCAAGACACTCAAACTCAATTTTTTCGATCTTTCTCACGGCCTATATCACAGAAAAAGGAATAATTTTTAAAGGTTTGCATTACACCTACACTTAGACCTTATTACAGTTTAGTTACAACTGTCGACCACATTCTGATTCTGTCCTTAATCACTATTCAGATAGTTTTTTTTTTTTACTGATCGAGTGTCCAAGAGTATCTTCAATACAAATAGCAACCAATGAATAGTTTTATTGAAAATAGATCTGTGATTTACACAGGAAAATTTAGATCTGAAATACTCCTAGTCGTTTTCATTTCATTTTGAATAAGCCAAGATCTATTTGTTAATTACATAAATAATTCAGTTCTGAGCAGTATGCTTTAAAAATATGCTAGATCGCATGGACAATTTACATACATTACCCTTTTTAAAACAGCCCTAATAGCGGTTACGTCTTGCCATGCTAGAGCAAGATTGTGCATGTAGTGGATTTAGATAGAAAGAAAAGGCCTTTGCACTTTGTGATCTAGATAGGCTTCTCAATTATCAACATGCTCCAAGAAAAGGTCCTTATATTTCTTAACTTTATTAGTTTCAGATTTGTTGTGCAAATTTAATAAATGTTGTAAAATTCAAACCACAAATAGTAAGAAAATCAAGATGGCAATGGAAGAAGATCAAGTTGTAGAACAAGGATTAGCTTTAGAGGAAGATGATGAAGTAATAAAAGATAATTTTCATTCCATTTTCCCAGTTGTAAATTTTTTTAAATAATTCATGATCATTGGATGCACAAAGCTATCAAATAAATACCCATAGCGGGTGGCCCAGAAAAACAATAACTTTTCATTTCAGGATTTTTTAAAAAGTATCAAACTATGATCATAATATTTAAACCTCATATTTATATGGATATTATATATCTTTTCACCAAATTACAGCTATATAGGCTGAACAACTTTGGAATACCAGCCTTGTTAAAAATCCTGAATTAAAAAGTGTAGGTGTAATTGTTTTTTTTTTCTGGTCCACCCAATATAAGCTTACATGTATAAAACTTATCTAATCCGACATGCTTAGAAAGAGTAACCTCAAGGGAAAAGTAGTATGGTTAGGTTCATTGCATTGATTAAGCTGATCAAAATAGAATAAACTCATTAATAATAGACATACATGTACATGTATCTATATTAGCTTAATTTTGTGTTTTTCTTTTTCAACTTTTTCTGGATTTTCCAGGCATCAATATTTCAAGACATTGATCAGTTGCAGAATCATGGAATAGTAAGCTACCCATTAATTATCTCTCTTATGCTATTACACATGGCTACATACTGAATCAGGACAACCTACTTGTTTTTATTAAGATCACAGTTTTATGAAAATAGTTACCCAGAATGTATTTCTGTCTCTTCATTACACAACTAATATATTTTATCTTGATGTTTGAGTCCTATCTATGTGAGGGCCTTCAAATCATTTGATATCCAAAAGCTGTAAAAGTGAAAGTAAAATTTTGTATTATGTATTTGTTTCTTCATTTAGAACATAGCAGATATTAAAAAGTTAAAACAAGCTGGCATAAATACAATAAAGGTAGGTTATATTATTTTTATTGTTATACATTATATATTAATGTCCTTATTTGAAATTATGTTATGAATAAATTCAGATAACACTATGATGAATAGATAGGAATTTATAGATCTGATAATACATATACCAAATAACATTAAAAATTATGTATATTTCTAAAAGGGATGCTAAGATGACAAAGTCAGTCACAGGTTTGATTCTGCTGTTCCAGGGTATGAGCAATGAATATGTCCTGCATGAAAACTCTACAAAGGCCTCTTATAAACTCTGAAATATTTCATTTTCTTCCAGGGTATCCAAATGACCACCAGAAAGAAGTTATGTAACATCAAAGGGATATCAGAAGCTAAAATGGAAAAAATAAAAGAAGCATCATCAAAATTATCAGTGTGTATTTTATATACATGTACTGTTTTATATATTTTGAAAAATGTTCAGATTAATGGGTAGTAGGTTTACCAATAGAAAACTTCATTTCAACCACAGCCACTCTGATAAAAACACATCTCAGCATCAACATCTAATTCTTTTAATCTGAATCATGCACCATTCATATTCATACATGTTTTCTTATAGTCAGTGGGTTTTTCAACAGCATTAGAATATGCAGAGAAGAGAAGAAATGTATTTAAGATATCTACAGGCAGCACAGAACTAGAGTAAGTTGAGAACTCTATGATTACCTCCCTTGACACACTAAAGGGGGATAATTTTTTTTTTAGTAGACATCATTATTTTATTATTATTCACTAGTTCCTATTTAGCTGGTTTTAAAATGAATCTAAAATCTTGATAAGTGAAAGGAACACATTAAGGATAATGGATAATCCTGGAATGTACTTTGTTATGTATCTTATTACAGCAAATTAATGGGTGGAGGAATGGAAAGTATGGCAATAACAGAAGCATTTGGTGAATTTAGAACAGGAAAAACACAGATATCTCATACACTATGTGGTAAGGAAAAAAGTTCAAGGAAAGATTTCCCGCCATACAATTTTGTCTTGTATATTTGCATTTAACTATTTGTACTAAGCTAAAAGAAAACAATATCAAACTTATAAAACTGTTCAATAGTTGGTCTTTTAATATGATTTTTTGTAATGAATGAATTGAAATCTGCTGTTAAAGGTGGTACAACCCTCGTCTTTATGTATCAGCGATGTACCGTACATCAAGTAATATATATTGTGTGTTTCAGTAACAAGTCAGATACCTAATAATAATTATAGTGGTGGTAAAGTGGTATTTATTGACACAGAAAATACATTGTATCCTTTTTATAAAAGTTTTTCATAGTACTGATAATGATATTTTCTTTCTTCAATTATTATGTTAAGAAAATCATGAATCCACATTTCTAATTTATTTACTTAATATAATTTACTTGTTTACCCATTTAGATATCAAAATATTTTTTTGAAATTTTGGTTTAATTAAGAGTAGCATCCAGCATCTCTAATGAATTTTGAATCTGTGCCAGTCTTCTTATTTTTTCCTGAACCAAGATACCAGCCGTCCTGACAGATTACGAGATATAGCAGATAGATTTAATTTAGATCAATCAGCTGTATTAGATAATGTTCTATATGCTAGAGCTTATACAAGTAAGTCATCTATTTACAAATACCTTGTCCTTATCATATACCTATCTAGAAATTGTATTCTGAAACTGTATCATTTGTAACTTTTTGGTGATAATTCTGGAACAGCTTGAACCTCTCATTAAAAGCCATTTTCAGGTAAAAAAAAATTTATTAATTGTTTGATAGAGCATTATTTTGAAGAGAAAGAATATCTAATATTATTGACTCAAATAATATGGTTATTCACATTAACTGAATGATTTAATAATAGGTGAACATCAATATGAATTATTAGATTTTGTAGCTGCTAAATTTTATGAAGAACCTGGAGTATTTAAATTATTGGTATGTGTGGTCTTTCTGTTTTTGCTGTCTATTCAACACACAAAACATGTTACAAGGATTGCTTTATGAATGGTTTACACAAATTCTAATATTTGGCATTATCCAAATCTTTGTTCAAGTCCTAAACAAATTCATGACATTGCTAACAAATTTATTACAATATTTTTGCTAAAAAAGTCAAAAATATTCAATAAACTTTCCAACAGTCCAACATCTTCACTATGTCAAGCTATTATGAATCTTATAAATTGACTCCAATATCCTCATTTCTTGTATCACAGAAGTTTGTAAATGTAGTGAATTGAATGGATTGGATTGGATTGCGAATACAGTGAGTCAGACACCTCGACAAAAAGTCTATGAATACAAAGTCATTCTGTCGAAGGCTCTGATTGACTGTATCAAATCACTTGTATAAGACAAGGTTCGTAATATCTTGAAATTGTGAAGATGGGGAGTCATAATAATCAGCATTTGTTGTCTTTTATCAGATAGTAGATTCAATCATGGCATTGTTCCGAGTAGATTTTAGTGGTAGAGGAGAATTAGCTGACAGACAACAGAAATTAGCTCAACTTTTATCAAGATTACAGAAAATAGCTGAAGGTAAAGTATTGGTAACCTTATAAGTTCTTGTAGACCTATCTGACAATCTCATAGAGATTAACTATCTATAAATATTTGTTATTTATATAAAACAACCTGTTTCCAGCTGGTATTAAGCATTTATTTGGCTATATTTTGCGGTAGATGTAATTCTATTATAGTGCTACATGAAGGGGTTATAATCTGATGCATTTTTGTTTCATAATGATAATACCTGAATATGTAGACAATATGTATTGTTTGTATTTTCTAGAATATAATGTATCAGTATTTGTAACCAATCAGATGACATCTGATCCTGGTGCTGGAATGTCGTAAGTTCCTGAAACTTTCTTTATAACTTTACAAAAAAGGAGGAGTTTTACAAAAAAAATAGATTTTTGAAAATGTCAATGACTTAGCTCCCTTGACACACTAAAGGGAGATAACTTTACTCATCATTTTACATAGAGTTCTTGTTTTGTTAAGCCAATTGTTTGAAGATATAAGGGCAAATTGGAAAGCATAATGGTCTTGAAATTGATTAGTCTTGTAAACCATATTTCAGATTTCAAGCTGACCCCAAAAAGCCAATCGGAGGCCATATCCTGGCACATGCTTCTACTGTCAGAGTCAGTTTAAGAAAGGGACGAGGTGAAACTAGGATTGCCAAAATATATGACAGGTATAGTATATCAAATCAATGTGATTATACTATGTAAACCATTGGGATGAAGCATTGTCCTTGAAATTTCAGTAGGGAAAACTTGATTAAGTGTATTTGAACTGTATATGCTTAAATGAAAATGTCATCTTATAATTAGCAATGAGTTTCCAAAAGATTCAAGATTAAATATTTGCTATGCACAAGTAATAATCATATGGTATCAGTTACAAGTAAACCAGTAAGCCAAACATTTCATATGTTAGGTAGAATAAATTGTAATTTAAAGGTATACTACCTCTTAGACTGTCCAAAAGATAGCTTGCCAGGCAAGGTAACATACGCCCATTACAAGCTGTCAGAAATAAGAAGTCTTTAGTGACTTGAATACGAATTTTACTATTTTAAAAATCTTCATACAGTAATACATTGTAGTAATTTATTATATTTATTCCAAATCTTTTTTTAAATTGATAACCCAAAAGCACATCATCAAAAAATCATCCATATATTAGAATTATACTAAATTCTCATCAATTTAAATGATGATCAAATTTCATGGTAATCAGATGAAAACTCAAAAATCGTAAAATATATTCATCGAATAATCGTCATATTTGAATCAGTACAAGATCTTATCAATATATCATATGATCACACCAAGATTCATTAAAATTAATTGAAACTGTAGTCTCTATTGACTATTGCGTTCACAAACAAATGTTGACATGATTTTCCTAAGTAATGGGCAGTAACTCAAAAACAGTTCATCAAAAAATCATCTTGACCGAGATCTGAAATAAATAATCACCCCAAATTTTATTAAAATCGAATGAAAAGTGTAGTCTTTATTACGCTCATGAACAATTTTTGACACGTTTTACTAAGTCAAGGGCAATAAGTGGAAAAACGTTCATAAAAAAATTGTCAAATTTTAATCAATCCAAGATTTCATGAATATAAATCATCATACCAAATTTCCTTCAAATCAGGTGAAAACTGTTGTGGGTATTATGCTCACAAACAAATTTTGACACGTTTTTATTAGTCAAGGGCAAAAACTAAATAAATTTTCATCAAAAATTCTTCAACATCGAACTCGACCAAGATCTAATAAACATAAATCATCACACCAAATTTCAGTATAATCAAAAAGAAAATGTAGTCTCAATAGTGCACATAATAAATGTAGATGGACCAACGGATAGGGGCAACGGCAATTTACATCCACATTGCAATGTGGGCATATTAAAATTGAAATTTTTAAACTTGTCCAAAATGAGTCTTTTTTCATCAGTAGACTTACCTGGTGTCAACACTATACAACAGAATCCCTTTATAATCCAATATTTATAAAACTAATTCCATTTTAAGAGGTAGTATTCCTTTAACCGTTACATGCCCCGTTTTATGTTTGAAGCCCATTGACTAAGTATTTGGATGACTTTTTCAATGCATCTTCTCTCCTTTCAGTCCAGATTTACCTGAAAATGAAGCTACATTTGCCATAAGTACTGGTGGAATAATTGATGCTAAAGAATAAGGATTGTGTGTAAGAGAACAAGAATCTCAAATTTTTAAATATTTCTTAACCAGAATGATGAAAAACTTGTTACAGATATTGACTTGTTAAATTGAAAATTATGTGATATTTTGCCATTTATTATTGTTGAGTTTTATAATAAAATTTGCTGAATGTTCAAGAGGCCAGTCTTTAGACCCTAACTATTATAAATACTAATAAAAAAAAGAACAAGAGTTTGGTCTAATTTTAATACCATACCATGCCATGACAGCACTATCAGCAATTATCGAACAAAAAGATTTGATAGGTAAAAGTATTTATTTCTTAAGATATTCTAAAATGGCACAACACTAAATGTTTTCAACCTTATATCTTCTTCAAGAATTGTATTTAATCCAGAGCTCATGCAAAAAACTGTTGGTGCATTTAATAAATTCTGTTACTACAGAAGCAATATCTATCAATATCTTATTTCATGAATTACAGACATTCAGAAATTAGTCCAATTACGAGTCTGTATTATAATATGGGCTAATACCAGACATGTTTTGAAATAAACTTTTAAGAGGGTAGATCATATATGATTTCAAAAGCGGGGATAAAATGAATTAAATGGTTGATATATGTTATCTGTTATGTGTCATGAATATAGAAATCTATATATTCTTTAAGCTTATAAGATAGCTGAACTCTAATCACTTAGTGATTTTGCATAAGAAATAAATTCTACATCAAAACATCCTTCACCATCTTGAATGTGCTGAAGACTAGCAATGTAAGATACCAGTAAAATATATAATATATACAATATAATGGAAAATAGAAGCTGACTATAATTAACTACATGTACCTAAAAGCACAAGATACACTTGTTATACACATTAATGTGGGTTTATATTGTCGTTGCCCCCATCTGTTGTCTGAATGTCTGTCCGTCCCGCTCAACGTCCACAATTGTTCTGGACACGATAGAGAGCATGTTTCTTGATAAATTTGTCGAAAATCAAGAAAAAAGTAGTGTGTAGTATGAAAACGTTGCCATCAGAATATTTCATTTACTGATAGCTCCTGTCAACCTCCCAGATGACTTGGCTGTCATTACAATTGTGAGCATATTACGATTGCGATCACTATTTTTCTGACATTTACTCAACATTTCACATGCTCATATTGGCAGTATTATCTAGAGAAATGATGATGCTGCTGGTGAGAGCATGAGTTAATAAATGTTAGAAATAGCATATCCATGTATCTTGTGCTTCTTTACCCATACCTATTCTATGTCTTATAAACAGTAATTAACTATCTACTATCTATACTGATACAAACAACAGTTGGGAGATATTTATGCACATTTCCAAACCAGGGCAGTTTATTTTGTTTTCTAGTAAATTAATTTCTTTTAATGCTATGTATAGCATATTGAACACATCAAATGTGAGGCTCAAAGTGCAAACTATGTCATTTATTGAAAATATGGAGACGTCATATGAAGGAATAGCTTATGTGAAGTCACTGAACATCTAGGGGCCTTATTTTCCCAAACTTTCCTTAAATAAAATCTAGATTTTAAGACATACAGTTATCTGATTGGATCCCAAAACAAAATTTAAAATATATTTTAGTGATTGAACAATCACTGAAAATAATCTTAAGTTAAGTTTATGAGAATAAGGCCCCTAATCAGATGTGAGAAAATGGGCTTAAAACGTCAAGCAGGTGATTTAATGCAGTGACAAAACATTAACATTTTTATGTTTGCGTTATGAGCCTCGTTCCGGATTCAATATGGCTGATGCGTGAATAAGGTCTAATGCGCTTATAACCAATCAAATTACCAAAATATAAATGGACTGTTCATCTATTGCCCAAGGACAAAATCCTTTTTCATACTTAGCTGAGATTTTACTCAAATTTAAAGCAGGTTTTACAGATACATAACTGATTTTATCAAAGAAAAACATATGTCTATGCCTTAAGACACAATGTTTCTGGTTAATCTCAGAACCTTCAAATTTTACCTTTTCTTGATGTAAGGGGCATTTTGAATTTGAGTAAAATAATAGCTGCGCATGAGAAATGTTTTGTGGCCCTGGGGCCTGGATGTGCGTATATAACTTTGTCCCAACCTACTATTGCCTTACTATCAGCATAGTAGTTGCTATTATTTCCCTAATAGTGTTAGTACTAATAATTGAAGGCTACACAAGCAATAAATTGTTGAATATACATGTAGAATGCTTACTGAACATGTAATAAAGATATTTAGATAATGAATAACTGTTTAGATTTACCAATAGAAATATTAAAACATATTTCAATTTCTGTTAATATTTCTTTACCACTCTACTATTAAGTATTGAGCACTATTTCAACAGTGAGAATATTTTATTATTGTAGATTATTATTGTAACACTTGTGACCAAATTTGATGGTGGGTTTTTCATTGCAAACCGACCATTAGCAATTTTAATGATTCTTATTTCTTTATGCTACACAATAATTCAATAAACAAGATATTTTGCTTCATTTGCCTAAAATTTTGAAGGCTCTTTTTGATCAATTAGTGAATGAAAGGTCAAAGTGTAAGCAAAATTACTAAAATAATAATCACAACTAATTTGTGCTAAAATCACAATAAAATATAAAAGAATAATTAAACTAAAAATATCATATATTATGGACATTTTAAAATAAATAGTATCTGATAAATAACAAACAAACAAAAACCAAAATAAACAAAAGAATCCATAACACCAGAAATAGTAAAATGTTTAAATTTTTCAAGAAATATGATCTTAATGCAGAATGAAATGAATTCCACAAGTGGGCACTATAAGTTTCTGTGTTTCAGCGATTTTGGGTTGCCTGCTAGGCTTCAATACCTAATCAGAAAAGAATTTACTAAAATTTCTCAGCTCTTTGTTTTGCCGTTACTTTTTATTTTACATAAATTCATGTCCAGCTCCTGAGACAAATATACCGGTAATAAGAAATATTAGAATTTAAAACAAAAAATAAACAACTAAATCATTATATATGCCAACATAAAATGCAAGATTTTTTGGGAAAGAGGACCTGGACCATGTTATGAAGCAACTAAATACCATTATATTGAGACTATGCCTACCCTGTTTATACTGAAGCTGAACTAATATAGGAATAATATACTATTAATAATCAATTAATTAACAATGAGATTCTATTGAAAGTAAAACAAATGCAGTATTAAAATCTGATATCACTCATTACTGTCAAACATAGTAATCTTCACTTCTGATTTGTACAGCTACTTCCACAAACACCTCAAATTTGATGATCAATTTACACTGCATTGACTGATTTCCTGTTCATAAATCTCTTCGTCAATGAAATCTAATCTTCAAAATTCAAATGAGTAGTGATCTTCAATGATTGTATAAACATTTGAGTTATTTTGGGATATCAACTGGAGTGCCATGTACACGGAATCGATATAAACAAGTATATTTTATCTGTCCATAGTTATTCAATACTTCTAATTCTATAAATTTGAACACAGGAGGGTTTGGAATCTGAAATACAAATAAAAAATTCATAAAATGATAGGAAGCAGGAATCATTGATTCTCTCATCGTTTTAGTACAATCTAGACTAGAGCTTTTATTTGTCAAAGGGTTAAAATCAGATATAAAATCATCATACTGACAACTGGATTGGATTTAGGTTAGCAAATAAATAGCCAATTACCATGGCATCAGAAATTCTTCAAGCTTGAGGGGATTAAACTTAAAGATCAAACTGTTGAACCCTCTAAAAATAATTCCCCCCAATTTTAATAATTTACTGACCTGTATCGGGAAATATTGTACAGAGACACTCTCATCATCATAAGTATAATTTCCTAAAGATAATCCATTTATACTATCTTCTTTTTCTAGGCCCTGTAATATAAATCATAGCAATTAATTTACCACACAAGAATAATGGAACAATTTGGTTTTTTTCTCAAATTTATATTTTACAGGACAATCCAAATTCATTGCTTCTGTCCGAGAAATTGCATACAATTTGGTGTGCCAATGATCAAAGTCTTCGTGTACTTGTGTGAGAAGTGTGGTGCATGTATGCCATGTTTGCACACATGCCAACTTTGCACAAGTAACACCACTTGCTTGACACATTCTGAACATTGGGCATAATCAACACAAACACTGTCGACATATGTGTCATGGCATGAACAATGCTCAACCAATAATACTTAACCTATGCCTTGAAAACAAAATGTGCATCACAACAGCATTGAAATGGCAAGACCAAATGTGCAGCATTGTGGGGGCAAAAATTATGCAAGTGTCAGGGTGGCTTAAGTCTCATTCTCAAATTGAGTCAAAATTTCAAACATCCCATTCATTTTCAAACATTTTTTACTTACATAAACTGTGAAATCTTTAGGAGCACTCTTGATATCCCCAGTAGGTGATAATGATTTAGGTATATGTTCTAATGTAAAACCACTTGGAATGATTGAATTAGATAACTCTATCACAACTTGACCTCTCTGACCTTTAAATGCCCAGCATTCACCTGGATTTACATTTGGCTGAAAATATAAAATAATGATGACAATAAGCTATGATAGGTATATATTCATTGAGACTATTGAAAGCTGTATGAAAGAAATTTTGAGAGACCAAAGCCATTGTTCCTTGAACCATACCTTTATTCCATATAATAAGAAACAGAGCCAGATTGTAAACTATAAGCTACAGTACTTAATGACATACACATTATCCTGAATGATTTTGAAATTAGAAGCAATTGAGAATATACATGCTGTAATGTTGCTGTGACTAATAGACTAAATATAAATGTATACCTGTATAACAGATCTAGGTGAATTAGACCAATACCATAATGGTATACCAAACATACTAACTAACGCTGTTTTATGATAATATGTTTCTGAACATCGTACACTTATCAGACTGCCACCTGTAATAAATACATACATGTATCACTTTATGAATAAATACATCATGGGTAATGCGTTGCATATAAATATAATATCATTTGGTAATTCTGAAAGATGTAGGCTACTGAAATTGGTTACGTTGGCAAATTTCGAAAATCTGGTCTTGACATTGATCTTTCAAGAATAACTCTTACCTGTCTGCAATTACACACCATTTCCACCTATGACCTCTAGTTGTTTTACCTGACTAATCAAATAAAGACTGCACTACAGTTCAGCATGCCTAAAGTCCACACAATAATAAAAGAGACTGACTTTGAGCATTTTGGTTGCAAAGTGCGTGACTTATTGAAAATATAAAATTTACCTGCAGATTCCAATGCGTAATCAGCCATGCCTGTTCTATCTGCACTAAATTTTAATAAAGACTCATCAACAAGTGCTCGGACATGCTGAAAATAACAACAAAACAGTTATTTGTATTGAAAATCACTGTATAGGACATAAAGATCTAAAGATTAAAATTTAAGTTCACAAGGATCCGGTCAACCAGCTAGTCTTGGCATAAAGCTTTGTAAGGTTATCTGCAGATTTCCTGGATTTACAGCTTGTTCAACTTGACTAATGAGCAAAGACGGCAACCAAGATTAGAATCCAAAACCACCTTTTGTGCTTTAAATTAAGAATTATCAAACAGACTGCATTAGATTTTAAATGGTCAAAATGGCCAAAACTAAAAATACTGATGCACCTCAAAACAGGAGTAGACAGCATCAAGATTTGATAATTCTGGTAACGTTTTTATTTGACTTTTTGAAAATAAAAATTTCAAGCAAGAAGAACCTACCATTTCACTGAGTCCACCACCTACAGTATGAGAACTAGATCTATCAGATTGTATCAACACTGCTTGTTCTTTCATTTCTCTCTGTAAACCTAACACTTTCTCTGTTATATCTTCTGCTAGGGCTACCATCTTAGCTTCAAATTCTTCTTTACTGATATAATTACCATGTAACCAGGTCATAAACAGGTTAGATATATCACTAGAATCTTTACTCTTCTCTCCTCCAGCTAACATCTATCAAAAATATTGTACAAAGTTTAAATGTATGGCTAATTTATTCACATTAAAGTTTTTTTTCCAAATTCAGTTGAGCAAAAAAGGTGGGAACTATTTTCAGAATTATACAGAAAATACACAAGATTCATAGTTGTTTGTTTGGACAAACTTGGGCTGATATTACAGAAAACATCATTTCCGCTTTGATTATGATTCTTACGAAGTCCTGTCTTCATTATAGATTGTCTTTGAGAAGGACCTTCTTGACTTCAAAGAAGAGAAATAAAAACTCTTTACTCACCCCTGCTAGGATATCATGTATCTGTTGTCTTACAAACGTAATATTATAACTATCTTTATCACAACAATTCTTAACACTGGCTATCATAGCAGACTCCTTATCTTTTAACACTAACATCTGAGCTTTCATTGCTTCTAATTCTGATTCTAGTTCTCTAATTTTTAATTTCATTCCATCATTCAATTCACCAGTTTTCCTACAATCATTTTATATCAAAATATAATTCTGCTTATTTGGATATTAACAACATGATTTCAATTGAAACTTATTTTAATTTACAGAGTATTGATAACTGTACAGGATACCTTTCTGGTGAAAAACAATTAAAAATATAGGCTTAATCATCTTCTTATACTTACAAGTTAGCATTCACTTTAGCCTCAAATATGTCATCTTCTAATTTCTGGAATGTAAATAAAAGCTTATATTTGGTATTTTGAAAGATAATCAATGATTCACACCATAACCTGTATCAATAATACAATTTCCAGGTTTTTTTTATAAACTCATCCTTATTTAAAAGATCCAAAATGTCAACCAAAGACTATTTAAACAAGACAACAAAAATAATAACTCAACAGGTTATTTGACTTCAGAAGTGTAAAAAGATCCTACATCAAGTCTCTTATTATATTACCTTTGTGAAACATCGTTTGAAATATCTGTACAAAGGTAGATATATTACTATAACACACTGTTGTTACATTTAATTAACCCATTTAAAAACAATGCAATGTATTTCTTACATACCTTATTTTTAATCTGTGCAGCTCCTAGTAAAGCCTCTAATGATGATAGTTTACTGGTATAAAGTTGATTTTCTACAGATTGGTCATCTTTATTTTTCTTCATTAAACTATCCAACTCTAGACGTAAGGTAGATAACTCAGACTGTAATAATCTCTGTACTATTATAGATACATCTTTCTCTGATAACATATCTCTTCTATTATCACCTTGTAACTGTAGAAACATCTGCTGTATTCTCTGATCTATATGGCGCATGTCAAAATTGGATGACTGAAGATAAAAATAAAGAAATAGGTTCATTAATTTAGCCAAACACAGAAGCTTATGGACAGAAAAAAAAACTGTCAACTATCTCTAACCATTTCAAGACTAATGGCTGTCCTACAGGCCATATAATAATTTTATATCAGATGGCTTGTGAAGCAGTTACCAACTGCAAATGATCCAACAATGTTTAATGTTTGAGTTTATGATAAATTAAGAGTAATTAAATTAACGTTTCTTATCCCAATAGGAGAGACAATAATGCTTACATCACATTTTCTCATTTCTTTCAACCCATCTGTAAATGATACAGGAAAGTATAATCTACAGGCTTAAGACATAATTATTGCCATTGGACATGTGTAAACTAAATAGTTTTTCACTAAATATTAAATTGTGATTGTGTTAACAGCTTTACCTGTTGAATAATGGTGTTATTTTTCTCAGAAGACCATATCAATGGTATAAATCTAGTCTTAGTTATTTCCCGTATTTCATCATGGTTGTACAGACCTGAAATGATGAAGAATTAATCTTAAAATTCCATATTTTCAAAACAGGAAAATAAACCAAAATTGCTTGATGATTAAAACTTCGAATTTAAAAGAATTATTACATTTAATTTGTTCTTTACATCAAGCTGTCAGTTATATGATTGTGTTGTCATCAGCTATAATGTTTTGGTAGTTTTCCAAATTTTATATAAAGCTTTGGGAGGGAAAATACAGTTGCATTCTTCAATTTCTTTTAAGAGCTAACAAAATGTGCACTTATATCACAATTTCAGTACTAATTTACCCAAAAACATAATCCAGGGCGCGGGCACACAAACAGTCTTGGTTGCCAATTTTTGTCACTGACTAGAGTTTAACCAATCGGCTGCGGGCACACAAGGTAATAAAAAAATTCAGTAGGTTGTTTTCCACTATGTTTAATCACATGCAGATCATGCGATTGAAAGGAAAATGAATCTAATTCAATGATGATGCTATGTCTTGATGTCAAACTTGTTTGATATCATAAATAGGGCCGGCATTGATTACCAAATTGAGATCGATTATCGATGGCAGACTAGCAATCAATAATCGATTAATAACCAAAATATTTCAATGGAGAATCTGTGTCAATACTAAATTGAAAACATGCCTCAATTCTCAATATCATAGTTGATTATTGCATCATAGAAGCATATATTTTCGTTTTGATCAGTAATAATAGTTTATTGTGGGTAAGATTTGTGCTGAAAGAAAACTATGTGGAAGAGGTAGCTACATGTAAACCAAGACTGTTCTTGTGCCCACACCATTATGTGTCAAAGAAAGGAATGCTCACCTAATAATAATAATAATGGAAGCCAACAAAGACAACAACATGGTAACCATAAACAGCAGGCCCTTTTATTCCTATATAATAAAATATTCAAGTGATTAGAGATGAACAGTGACATTGCTAATATCATATACATATACCCACTTACTACCAGGGGACTTGATAACAAGTATTCATATTACAAAATAAAAAAAAAATCAATGAGATAAACTATTCTCAGAATTAAACATAGGTTAAAATACACAAGATTACTATTCTCAGAATTAAACATAGGTAACTACATATCAAATTACATTGTTTGATAAAGAAATAAGCCTCTCATGATAGTCAATGTATACCAAGGCAGCCATTAAAGGTATTGTAAAGAGGTTTTCTACAAATTTTATGTGTATAGGAGACACTTATACCATTAAATTGCACCAATTGAATTTATAATCAGACCTCTATGGTTCTTGCAATTCCAAGCTATGTGTTTTATGACATCACTATTGAAAATATAGCAGCTTTTGCAGTAGTGATGCCATTAAAGACTTACTTTTAGTGAAATTGCAAGAAACACAGACGTCTGACTGCCGGCTATTATATATTCATTTATATTAAAGGGGTTGTAATTGTAATAGGTCTTTTGATGTGTTTTATTTGCATCAATTAAATTTTCTTTCAGATGTCTGTTATTTGTGTAATTTGTTTTAACATGTTCTTTTTTTGAATGATTTTTATTCTCATATTCTGATTCCAAAAGTGGAATAATTCTTATAATAAATCACACTTACCGTTTTTTTTCTCTACTATATTCAGAATATTGGTCTATTGAATTGGAGGTATATGATTTGGATGACATTGATGAAGATGATTTAGGAGTAAATGAAGAACTCTGTTTGGACGGTGAAGACTGGCTCGAATGAAAATAGGAAGGTATTTTTCCAATTGATTTGATTGTTCCTCTAAATAAATCTGTGAAAAATGCTGAAATAAAGAGTGAAATTTTTTAATAAAGATTGTAAATTTCTAATTTCTTTAAAATGTTACCACTTTAATATAACTTAATTTAATATGTAATAGATATCCATTTAAAAAAATAAAACTCAATTATCTGTCCAGTTTTTGTACAGTGTTTACAAACTGAAAGGTTTTGAATTACAAATTTATTGCTCACCTGCTATCGTAGTGAAAATCAATAGAACACTGTCAACAATAGTTTCTTCATCTTCAGAATTACTAGATATACCACTTCTATCTAAATCTATACAAATACAATAGACAGTGTTAAGACCGAACAATAACTTTCTGAACAATAACCTCTCTTAACAGGCATCAATTCGCAGCAATCTATTTTGACTTACACACATCAATACAAAGCTCCAATTAGAGCAAAAATTGCAAATAAAAAACAGTAATGTGTCAATGTATTGGATTCAGTCAATGGCATCATCAAAGAATTGACAAAAAAAATTTCATTCACTTAAAAAACATGATTATAACTTACCTTCCTCATCATCTGTATCCAAACCTGAAATATAAATTTCAAAAGTTTATATTCAGTATTCCATTAATTTCAAACCTTTACTAGTCACAATCATTAAACACTAATAATCATTTCTCAAAAACAATAAAAAAAATTGCATGTAGATTATTAGTAGATTATTGCCTGTAGTATTGTTGTGAAAGGGGCACAGAAATGCTCTTTATTAAGAATTTGAACATTTTATGTTTTGTCATGTTTCTATGTTGAATCTACTTTCCAGAAATCAGAAATGACAGGTTAGTTAAAATAGCGACTAAGCATTGTTTAAACTATAATATAAGAATTATACAGGTTCTTACCATACATATGATTAATAGAATTTGAAGTCTGTTGATTGTTGACATGTTCATAAGATTTAGGTGAAGAATATTTATAACTGGTTTCATCATAATCTACTCTATCATTATAATCTATTTTATCATTATAATCTATTTCATTATCATGCTCATAGTTTAACTTCTGTTTGATATCAGAGCTGGTACGACCTGAAGATGAAGAATATGTTGTCTCCGTGGTTTCTGTTGTAATTATCTCTGTATCATATTGGTTATTAGAACCGAGGTACGAACTACGTCTATCATTGCTAGCGTTTATATTCCTATCTCTATTTGTCACACTGCCACTATGAGAGTCTATCATTCCTTTTACACTATGTAAATGATGTCCTGATCTAAGCAGCATACCATCATCTCTTACTCTCCAACCTACAACAATAATCGACAAATAATTAGCGAATATAATAGTATAGTAAACAGGTTAATACCATAATATCAAAACATACTGTTGTGGGAATAAAGGTATGAAGGAAGTGTCAATCATTTGAAATGACTGTTGAATTTTTTCTCTGATCCTTTCAAAGTCAAATTTTTGTATCATCACAGGTAGGTTGGCTTAGTAATACTTAGGCTAACCAAAGGAACTGCCAACACTATTTCATACTAGTACTGGCACAAAACATTGCGATATGGCATGCTACGATGTGTATTGTAACACGAGGCCCTGTATCGATCCTTACAAATGATTCCATAAAAAAGTGGTAATTTTTAAAGTTAATGAATGGAATCACAAATTTTTGCAGTGACTTGATTGAAATTGTTGGTAACTATTTATAAGATGGTGGACGTTAACCACTCCTATCAACTATATTACCAAATATAACAGTTATAAAGTTATACTAATAAATATTGACACCTTGAATATTAAGTGTTAATTGTGAAATTATTAAGTGTTTATCCCATCACCCCATATTACAATACATTTTGTATCATGATCCTTGTATCACAATACATATCAATATGGCATGATTTGCGTTACCCAGCACTATTTTGCACTATGCAATCAATATCAAGGTGCTCAAGAAGTATAAATACTTACGTTTACTTGGAGTAAATTTGGGGAGAGACATGTCTATTTCTTCATCACTAGAATAATCCAACTCTTTACTTTCACTATAAGAACTCTTAATATTTCCACCTCTTTCAAGATACGACGCCTCCAGTCTACTCTCAATATAAGAATTTGTCAGATTTTCTTGTAGAACTTTATGTCTGTCAGTGCTTGTGATACTCCTGCGTTTATTACTACCGATAGATACATTATGAATAACATCATCCCCATCATCTTCAGGATTATAAAGACGATGGTTTCGTAACTTTCTTCGCGACATATTGGGACTTATATATCCTTCATCTAGTACGTCTTGACGATAACCAGCACTACAATATAAACATTTGAAAGAAGGTCAATTAAGGTGATGGATTAGCATAAACCTCGACTTGTTTCCCAAACCCTATTTATATTATGTAAAATGTTATATGTATAATCAGCGTTTAATATTTTATATATGAATATTGAGGTGTTTATACAAGACTTGTTAGCTAATAGGTCTAAGATTCTGAATTGAAGGTCAATAATTAATATTTTATTAGCAAAACTAAAACTAAATACAGGGAATGTCTCTTCTTTAATAACGCCTGATGCCACTCTATAAAACGTTGGTCAATTGAATTTCACTTCAAAAATTTTCATTATTTACGAATTTTTAATAAATCTTTTTCTTTGTTGTTTATAAGAATTGTTTTACTCCTCAGTGTGAGGTTTTTCAAAATTCAATAACCAGCCTATGCTTACCTTTCTGCATAGGTGTAATCTGTCTTAGGCAATCTATAACAGAAGATAATACCAGTAAGTTTTAACACCAGTAAATCATAATCTTAGAGTTTTATCAGTCAGTAAACAGCTAACAATAAAGTCACTTATACTGACTGCACAAAAGCTTATGCAAGGATAAGATTATCAGCAGGTTGTTTGATTATTAATGATTGTGACATCAAATTGAAAACCAAGTAAAACTTCAGATGGTTTTATATCAAATATTCTATTATAAGTAGTAGCATCAATATTGTCAATATTTCAAAGTTTTTCTTTCTACCCGTTCTCTCTTTAAATTTTTACATCAAGCATACATTGTCTAATAACACTCTGTAAATCTGTTAATATCCTTCATTTGGATACAATTTAAACTTACAATTACTAGTACTGATGAGGAAACTTACATGTCAAATATTTCATCCTTTAAATATTCATCAACAGAGAGATCTAGTTGATAAATATCGCCTAATTCATCCCTGCCTACTTTAGTTATAAATTTTTCATCTACTTGTAACTTGCTATTTGATCGGATCAAATATTTGTGATCTCTTTTTGGTCTGAAAAAAAAAAAACTACTACAGATATAACATATAAAAACAGAACACCTAATGATAGCCAGATGGGCTATAAAATGGATGGAACATTCTGTGTAGGCTTAATGAAAGTTCAATAATCTTATAAGTTCACATTTTAACTAGGGTACCTCTGAAGGTCCTTGTTGCATTTAGACTTAGAAGAAAATGATAATTTACTTCATTTATGTACATCAATTTTGGTTAACAGTTTAAGTTATAGACTATGAAATTTGTTTTTTTTTTTAAATATACACATGGTTATATTATTTCAAACTCCTGAGAGAAAAGATCATCCATACAACAAATAACTGTAAACTACCAGCATCTATTTACTAATTACCGTTTCACATTGGATTAAGGGTAATAAATCATCCAATATCACAATTTCACACTTTAACATCATGGATGAATAAAGCATTTGATTTGAAAAGTTGAACACAGCAGCCTTCCTACCTTGAAAATTGAACACCTGTGCTTTGATAGCAAAACTAAAAAGCCTATATCCCTAAAAACCTATCCCAACACAGTTAATGTGGTACACCAATACTATTTAAGATTTTAAGCAGTATTATAATAAGTGTGCATTTAAACTAAATTGTTAATCCATTGATGAATAATAATACAGTAGATCTGGTGTAAAGTACTGAAAGTAGGTCAACTGACTCAGTTTTGAATTTTGACTACTAATATCCTGCATACATTAAAACAGGTGAAGCCTTTACTTTTTATTGGTGTGGTCCACAATGTATCATTGTATATCATTCTAAATAATCATACTCACTTTGTACTAGGGAACTCCCAGTCAAGGGAATCCCAATGGAAAGATTGCATTACTTAAGATCCAGAATGGAAAGGTTACTGGCACTGCTACCTATAGACCACTTAGCCCTTTGATAACCTGTTTTTGTGATTTGTGGGCATTTTAATACCACAGTCTTTAAATGTTACTATATGAGTTTAATCACTATCAAATTTAACACATTTGACATCTTAAAATCATCAATGCAGTTTGACCCAAGCCGAGAAGCTTATATCTGATTGGCTGTTATACTTAGATTATTTACGGCCACCCTTCACTCAATACAGATTGCACGCCAAGATGATCCTGTTTGACACAAACAATATTGACCTGATTAAAATGAAAGTAGAAATTTACGAACTGTCATTGGAGGCTATAAATAATAATCCAATCACATCTTAACATTTGATACTTCCGGTTAGACTTGATGAAAGTACATCTCATCCAAACACCCCAAACATGTTTTCCCTTGTTTCAAGAGTTTTTCGGACTTATGAGACTACTTACGTAATATTTAATGTCACAGATGTCTTTTCCGGTGATTCATTCATTAATTGTTATAAATATCAAATTCAAAACCAAATAAGATACTTTATTTCAGTAAAATCAAAAGTTCAACACAAAATCAAATTTTGTTGACATCCGTTGAGCGGGAATTGGGATTTGTCAAATTCAGAAATCTTTTATAAAAAAAAAAACAGAATAGAAACGAACGAATTGTATTCGCTAGATTTTTTTGGAAAAGAAAATATACTTTTATATGTCATATAATATGGAAGCCAACTTATTTTGTTGCTGAGGTAACCGACAACCGTGGGGGCTATATAAATGCCAGACATCAGCTATGAGGGCTCATGTTCCAGCCTCTTAATGATATTTTGACAGTTGTCAGTTATTAGCTGGTGTAGCCCACAACTTTCAAGATAACTCTCAGAGGCTGGAATAGGGGCAGATCTTTCGGTCTAGGCCCTTTTATAAGCTCACGGAAACTACTGAGGGGTGGGGGGGGGGGGCATTTTACTGCATTTTGCATAAGGAGCATCAATATCCCTGTGATGATGAACTATTTCTTTTCCTTGCCTATTCTATGCATTACCTATTATAATTGAATAAGCTATATATGCCCATAAAGAACATAACAAAAGAAATAAATTATAAATAGAAGAAGTTTATTCATTAACTATCTCTAGTTTGAATTCTCATCAGGATTTCTCTTGAGTAGCATCCAACATTTGTTGTATATCTGTTAATTTTTCTCTGGGTTTTCCCATTTCTTCTCCTTTACCAACTTCTACTTTATTAATTTTCTCCCAGCTCTTAAAATCTACTACATTTACACCTGAAATAGATAAATTGTATTCAAGATATGATGTGTTGGGCAAAATGGAAAAAAACTGTTCTTTTTTACGCTAGGATATGTCTCCAGAGCTGTGGGGTTAGTTAGATAACAACACAATGTTAATAATCATTAAAACCATGTGACTGTTTCTTACCCTTTTCTCTGAGTATCGGTAAAATCCCATCTTTCCCCGACTTCTGTATATTAGGAATCAGACCACTATTCATGTCACTGACAATCAGTTTACCAGTATTAAAACCATCGGACATAGTAGATAGTATTACACCTACTGGACCTGATCCAACCCACCCACTACAATACATTCCTACAAGAGAGACACAAAAATTCCAACATATTAAGTAACTTTAAAAAAACCCATCTTCCATGAAGAGGGGGTTGTTGTAGAACGATAAGAAAAGGCCTTTAAATGTAGATTTATCCCATTGTTAATTAAACATAAAAAACATCATACCATTAACACTATTGATGTGTTGACAAAATCAGACCAAAACACAGGTCATCACAAAATTTATGGGAACTTTTCTTAGTTCTGTATGTAAAAGTAATTGCAAGAATTCACATTGCATTGCATTTGTGCAAGAGTAAAATGTGTTTCAATCCTTTGGACACTATTTTTCTAGTACCAACTGATTTAGATTTTCAGTTTGAGGTTAAGTTAAATGATATCAATACCTGTGACTCCAGTTACACGACCATTTTCATTTGGTATAACACCTCTCTTCTGATCAAATGGTATAGCATCATCAATTGGTATACTTTTATAACCAATACTTCGTAATACCTGAAATATGTTAATAGTATTTATAGTTTTAGTAGAAAATAAAAATCAGTCTAACAGTTACCATATAAAATATAAAACCAGCTTGATATTTCACTGTTCTCTTTTAATCAAGATACCTTTTTTCTATTACTGAACTCTTCATAGACAATTTCTAATGAAGATCAAGTTGTAAAATCAAAAAAAATTAGATGACAAAATACTCACCAAACCACACTTTATCTGCACTGTTTCATCAGTTGACACAGCTTTTTGATTTAATATATCATCACCTTCTAGTCTATTTTTCACACATTCAACACTGTCTATTCTATTGTCATTATTAGAAACTATTTTAGTTGGACTCAATAAAAATTTTAACTGCCATTCTCGAATAGCTTTACTCCAATGAATAAGATTATTATCAGTTGGATTACAGCCTGTTTTATATAATAAATCTGTTAGTCTTTTTCTAGGTCGAGGTAGCTCTGGAATATCAAAATTGAAAGTGTGGGTTATTTCCTAGTTGATATATATTTTGAAATAAGTTCATGAATAATTCAATCATTGTTTATAAACCACACTCACTTTTTAGACAAATAGATGATGCAGTTAAAACAACCTTTTTTATAAGAGAGGGGTTGTCTCATATATATTTGTTACCAATTTTGTGGGTTTTCATATATGTAGAAGTGTGTTTAATGATCAGTTGAAAATCATGTTTGATAAGCATATAAGTCTTTTGAAAAACTTAATGAACCAAGTGATGAGGACAAATATTTGTACCCTTAACACTAGACTGGAGCATCAAATATTAACATACCTTCAGTTAAACTACCAATAAAAGAAACATCCTCCTTTTCAATAATAGTCCTACAATCTTCTAGATTTATCATTTCTCGTAATTCTTTAATAGTAAACGAAACCTGTAAGGGACCTCTTCTGCCAACTACATACACTTTTTTAATATTGGACTTTGATAAAGCTTCTAAAGCATGATTTGATATATCTGTTTTCTGAAAAAACGAAAAAATAGAATAAGTGTTTAATAATAAGTCTATGACATTGAGCACTGTTTGATTGGAAGTAATTTTTCCATCATTGCCAATACAAAATATTTCTGACAAAATGCACACAATGTCAACATTTTCATATAAAAATATATATACATTAAATTAAATTTAGAAAATCTTTTGAAGATTTATTTTTGATAGAAAAACTTACAGATAAGGTTGATGTGGGAGTTAATAAAATTCTAGCTACATCTAATGCCACATTACCATGTCCTAAAACTACAGCTGTATCACAAGATAGGTCTACTTCCAGCTGAAATATTTAACATTAAAACAAGATTAAAAGACGATAATATATCAAATGACAGGAACCGAAATCAAAATGGCATATTTGAGGAAAGACCGGCCTAATATTATCATTTCAGGTTACAAAATTAAATTTATCAGGGAAAATTGATAAAACATATTTCTCTTCAAAACACACTTACATTTCTATCTTGTGGAAGACCATTGTACCAACCCACTAATGCTCTAGCTGAAATAACATTTGGTAGATTCTGTCAATAAACAAAACAATTCAATCAAATTCACATCTCCTAAATTAACAGCATAATATACTGAGCATATATGTAAAAGATCCATAAAGAAAAATAAAGTAAATTCTAGAGAAACTAGTGCCTAGTATATGTCAATAAAAAATTTAGTTGGCCACCCATCTGAATATGTTCAATTGCATGTAAAGACATAAAATATTGTGGATTTTAGTATTGACATTATGACAAGTTTTAAGCCAATTTTAAATGTTTATAGTAACAGGGACCAAAGCAGATATACTGTCAAAAATTGAAGGTAATCGCTTAATTTCAACAATAAAAGGTTGATTCAGAACTATTTACCTCTCCTGGTATATCCAACTTTCTATCAGCATCAGCACCATATGACTGAAATATCAAGCCCAATATCATTTAAACTTGATTCTATAGTGAATGATATATGAAGTTTCCTGACAATAATAAACAGAGTTGATAATTTAGGCATCTGTTGAATTTCAAAAGGTGCAATTTTCTCTGTTACAATGCAGTTTGTTTTTAAATGTTACACTTGACCATACTTATGGGCTTGTTGTCAGAAACATTACTTCAAATTCAAATATTTCTAAATCTAATAATTAACAAGACAAAAGAATTGGATGTTGCAAACTCTCTAACAAAGGAGTCCATTAGCTATTCTGAAATGAAATGAATGGAGTTTTACGTCCTACTTTTTCTATTAGCTATTCTGAGAATTTATGTGTGAATTATGTTGATTGTTAGTCTGAGAGAATAAATGAAAGAACTCACCAGAACAATAGCATTATAAGCTTTCTGTAAATGTTTGATAGTAATATCAGTACCAATGGAAACATTTCCTATAAAATTACATCTTTCATTCTGGGCTGTTTGAGTGAACGTATTTATCACATTCTACAAAATAACAATTATAGAGTGTATACAAGTATTTCATTGAACTATAAAGATATCCAGAATTGAACAATATACCAGACCATATAATGAGCACACTAAGGTAATATAACACAGAACAAGTCTTATTTACAAGATGTTAACTAACCTTGACTTCTGGATGATCAGGAGCTACACCATATCTCACTAAACCAAATGGAATGGGTAATTTCTCATATATATCAACTTTTAATTTGGGATGTGCCTGAAAAAAATATTTTCCATATTATTTGCATCAATGATAATTCAAATTACATAGAATTGGTCAGGAACTTGGGAGCTGTATTATGTCTGATTCAGCAAAATAATGAAAAAATAAGAAAAATAAATGCCCAAGAAATGGACCCTAAATCCAGTTAATTACCTTCAATAATTGTTGTGTAGTATAAAATCCAGCAGGTCCACTTCCAATAACAGCAACATGAGGCACAAAATCACCTGAATTACCACAATATAACCTTCTATATCTGTTTAAATTTCTTATTAATCTTCTAGTAAGATTCTGAGTATTTTTAATCAACATAGCTGGTTTTAACAGCTTCTCTCAGAATACAATGGTGCTAGAAATAGATCAATACACAATAAAGTTTTCAAGAACTGATTCATTGACAACTTGCCAATTGCATGAGATTTTAATGAGATGCTGAGTTTTTGTATTAACAATCTCCATTGCAAGAAGGACTTTCAAAGTTCTTGTGACGAGCTTTACAAAGACAGCCACATTAACATAATTTTCTTAATTCTATTTCTAAACTGCTGAAGACTTGGTTAGTTAGCGAGCACTCTTTCTAAGACACTGACTGTTCTGTCTGAAGAGTTTGATTCAAGTGACAATAATGTTGTCTACATATCTAAGGCCCTTAATAACCTTTGTAATCAAGTTCTAAGACCAGTGAGAACTATAAATTATACTACTATTATTGGTAATTGTATGGGCTTGGAGACTAAAGTTCTGATTGTTGATAGTGATAGAAGTAGCCATTAGAACTACAAAAGTATAACAATTTGATTAGCTTCCAACTTTGTGTGTAATGCATGACAGCGAGGAAGTTCTAAACAAGTAAATACTCGTTAAAATATTTTTTACAAAGTATGTTGGCTAAAAGCCTGCAGAGTTCCCATTTACTACCTACACATTCATTGTCTAGAATCATGATTCATTTTCTATGAACCTACACCAGTGTGTTGTAAGGCCTTAAACTTTCTTAGAGTTTAAGGGTCAAATCATTGATAGTCCTCGCGTAATAAATGCTACAGATGTATGTAAATTACATCAAACAGCTAAATTGTATTGCAAAGCTGGTCCTTTTTTAAAATTGTTTGATTTCTCATTACGCTATCATCTGGGATCTCTATATAACATTCTGTGAACCCTAAAAAACAAAGCACTCTTTTTTTATATGGGTTCACAAGCAATCCGGAAGTGGAGTTAGTAGCGCCATTATTATCAAGTTTCCTGGTTTCTCGGTCTTGAGAAGTCTCAATATTACTGCTGATTAAGCCTTTTCTGCCTCTTCCATAGTGAGTTGACACCAGATTATTTCTACTTCTTCTTTTTGATGTTTTGATAAATGGCATGGTTACTTCTAAAGCACTTTTATGATAGGATGAACTTTTTTACCAAAGTTAATCGACATCAATCATGTGCCATGATGTAGATTTGGACATAGAGGGGTGGGGGCGTCTACAAAATTAACAGGCACCGGTCAGACTGTGACTCATCCGTGTGTGATGATACAATGCTATTGTTTTTTTTTAAATGAAATCTATTGTCATTGGAATATGTTATTGTTATTGGTTACAATTTCATTGATCCATAGATATTTGATTTTGCAGATCTATTTTGTGCTTTGTTACATTTTTATTTTTAACTTTTTGTTTACTTGCACCAAAATATATCAAAAACATTGTGTCAACTTAATAACAGTTGATGTCTACCTATCTGCTTGACTGTCTGTTTACTGTTTCTGTGTAATGAAATTATATTCTAAGAGTTTAGGTGTACCGGTATCAAAAAGGCATAAATAGTTGGTGATGTCTGTAAACTACATATTTAATTTGTATTCTATTATATACAAATTCGGGTATTATTTATTTGATTGTAAGACAACTAAATGTCAGAATTTTATTTTGGTAAATGCTATGGATAGCTGAAATATTTTAAAAGGGAAAGGAAATAACATTTAATTCAATAACTATAATTACTTCTTAATTTGAATGAAATAATTGAACCAGTGAACTGGTTGTAGATAATTATGACAGTGATTGTTATCAGCTTTTGAGTTTAATTTCCTCTAAGTTATTTTCAAGATAATCTTTTACTAACAGTGTCATTTTGACTATTGACAAAAGTATAAGAAAGATCTCTTATCACTGAATAAGGATATTTCTTTTGAAAATTGCTATCTTAAGATAAATATATATACAGTCGAGTAACCTAATTTCGTGGAAACCTATTATTCGTGGATTTCCGGAAAGGATTAATAATTTACATGAGCGACCTTGCGCGACCTCCGCATTAGTTTGTTTTAATAAATATGGGTTTTCTGTACAATATCAGCTTGTAGAATGAATCCAGTAGTTTCAAGCAAGGTAAAATGTATTAATGTATACTTTGACAAATACAAAATGGCCGATTTCACTTATTACCAAACGTCAACATTTTTTATCGGCCGAATTTCCTTATAATCCCTAGCCGTAATCGGAATTCCAAGTGTCGTCTGCTAGAATGTAGTCCAACGAATGAAGTCCCGTGATCAACTAGCGGATTCCGTGTCAGCAGAAAATTTCTATGGAACACAAAGTATTCTTATTCTTATGTTGTTTCAGTGACTTTTAGCAATAAATCACGCTACGTATCTTACTTTGTCAGTCACTATTTTTTTTTTTTAAATTGGGTTCTTTGAAGGAATTGTCACTAGTTATAATGAATTGATATTAAAGATAAATACTAAGAGAAGTTAATTATACCACCCGGTATCCATACAACGTGTTTTTCTCGACCTATTTATGTATCAAACATTGTACACGAAAATAGGTGACGCATTCTGCCGCCGTTGCCGAGTTGGTTGCTCATGAAATATGGGTCAAAGTGAAGAATTCTTAAAGAAAATTGAAATAAACCAATTTTAATTATTTTGTAGAATATCTCAGGAAACATCTAAGACATAAAAAAAAAAATTTCATTTTTTAACTTTGACGAAATTCGGTGTTGAATCCTTATATCCACGAAAATAGGTTACACCACTGTTTATATTAATACTTAATATCTATAGTCAGGTTATAGTCTTTGATATGAATTAAAATTGGCTGTTTATTTTAATAAAAAATTGCCAAGAATTTTCAAAGAAATTAAAAATGTTCATAGACAAAAGGGTCAACAATACTTTGTAGATCTAGAGATTTACCATACATGTACTTTCAAAAAATGTTTAAAAAATGGATTTAATTGATGTAAATATTCATCCAGAAGGATTTACTTGTTGTTAAAGAAGTTTGATGATACCAAAATGAGATCTTTTTAGCTAAAAAAATTTCTTCATATGCATAAATACAAATTTTTATTACCGTATTTCAGAAATAAAATGGCTGAACAGGGATCTGGAGATGAACATGAGGTTGATGAAGAAAACACTTTATATAAACCACCAGCAAAAAAAGAATTAAATGAAATTATCAATGCTGATGCAGATGATCCAAGTTTAATTGAATATAAGAAGAAATTACTGGGCTCTGGATTAGATGGCCCAGTTATTGTTGGTAAGCTGTTGTGCTCTTTGAACTTGATATGAGAAGTGTATCTAGATTTGGCTGAAATACTGACGCAGCTGAGTGATTGGAAATTAAAAATGTCAAATACATGTACATTTCACTTCATCTTGTGACAAGCAGTAGGTTGACTAAATGGCCATCCAATGGGTTTAGTAAGGTATATGCATTTATATAGACTCACTTGTGATATACAGAATGCTTTTATGGATTATTTTTCAGAACCCAATAATCCTAATTTTGTTATTGTGAAGAAGTTAGGTTTACTTGTTGAAGGTAGAGATGAGATGATTCTAGATCTAACAGGTAAGTTATTTATTGACTTAAATAAATGAAAAATAACTAGCCTACCTTAGAATATCAATAACTTGTAAAAATGATGTGGGAAGTGTTTAAACCAGTGTAGTTGACGACTGCTAGCTATGGTTTAATCCAAGAGGATTGTACAGTTTCACACCTGATCCTCAGTTCAATGTCTTTCTATTGATTTTTGTTTTATTCTAAAGACTACATCAGATGTATTAAAGAAGTGTGTTATATTCCATAATATTGTCTTGTGTTTTGTTATATGTGCTCCTCGCTTCAATATGTCGCTCAAATCTTACATCAGACTACTATTAAGATCATTTTGATACGTATTATCACATGCAGGCGCTAATTTGAAATTTAACTTTCCTGCTTGCAATTTAACAAAATTTTAATATGAGATCTGTTGGTCATGTTGGACAAATTGAAATTAAATGACTCCATGTTGGCTATTAATGATAAATGTGATGACAGGTACCATACATAGAACACTGTTTAAGTTTGGTTAAAAGTTTTTCAATCTTAACAAGCAAACTAATTATTGAAATTCTACTTGAATATAATTACAGGGGATAAAGATACTATAAAAAAGACGTCATTTGTGTTAAAAGAGGGCTGTACGTATAAAGTTAGAATATATTTCTATGTACAACGAGAGATAGTCAGTGGATTGAGGTACAAACAGAAAGCTTATAGAGCAGGCATAAAAGGTAATTAATTTATTGAAATATCGAATTAACATTTTTTGTTTATATTTACTTTATACGAAACAACTTATTTTCATGTGGATCTTAGCAAATTGGGAGTTTTCTGTCTTCAAAATCACTGTTTTGTGATTATTTCTTATAACCTGGGCTGGAATTTTTTTGTTTTTAATATGAACATCTAATGCCTGGGTTTTTAATATTTACAATGTTGTACACATGTAAATTATTGATTCTACTGCTTGTTAAATTGTTTACAGTTGATCAGAAGAATGTAATGGTAGGAAGTTATGGACCTAAGCCAGATCTACAGTCATATACCACACCAGAAGATGAAGCACCCTCTGGCATGTTGGCTCGGGGAGAATATAAAATAGATAGTTTGTTTACTGATGATGATAAAAATGAATACCTGTCTTGGGAATGGAAATTAAACATTAAAAAAGATTGGCAGTGATGATACCTCTATACTACTCAACTCTTCTGATATTTTGTTAGACTTTAGTACAAGTTATTTCAGACCACAATGTGACTTTCTACTCTACAAAGACTGGTTTGATTTAAACAGATATTTTTCTGAAGAAGGTATTAGAACTATTCACTGAAATTACTCGCAAATCAGAGTCTTTATTTAAGTTTTATATGGATACACATGTAAGCTTATGTAATATATCTTTGTGTGAAAACAAAATGTCTGTTAGAATCATACTTGTCTTTGTCTTAAGACTACAACAATCAATTAAAACCGAAACTATCTACAAAATAATAGATGTTTATTCAATGTCATTGTAATAGAAACAGATAAACAGAATGATTAGGTCTTAGACCTGTGGCGTAAGCTTATACTTCCCTTTATAAATATAGAGTAAAGAAAAGTAACAGGAAATTGCCAATTTTTTTCAAATGAATCATATTAAAGAATCAATTTCTCTGGACTAAACTTTGTCAAATTGTGATTTATGTTGAAAAAAAACAATAATGATATGATTCCCGATACTTTGATTTTTTTGTTTAGCTTTTTTCATTTGTAAAGCTTCAACAAATGAATGATGTGAATTTTTGCCAAATATTATTCCAACTATTATTCTTAATGACATTGAATAACTTTAATTATTTATATGATCTAGATGTACATGATTTATAATTTAGAAATTTTGTCTAATGTTACTTCTTAACGGTAATGCTAAGTCGAATTTTATGATTTTCTAGCAGTTTTGACTTGTTTTAAACTTTTCATATGTAGATTTATTGGGTATAGTTAATAATGTATGATGGTTATTGATTTTTAAATCACTTATCCAAGACAATATAACATACATAATGATTTCCATGATCATAAATTTGGCATTGTGATCTAAAATTCATTCATTTTAGAAAGCGATAAGCAAGTCTCACCTATTATGTCATTGAAATAGACTTTGTGTTACCTTGTAGGAGTTAAGAAACAATTGTGATTTTTTATTATCAGCTACGCAATAGTTTAAACACACGCTTTATTGATCTGATTTTCGCTTATTATTATCAAGGGGTATCTGAGACAGTTTGAACTTTGAAAATGGATTAAAGTTGTAGATGAAGAGTATGGATGTTCAATATTCAATGATATTGAATGTTTTTATACCAAATTTTTTATATTTTATATAGTCAATAAATCAAAGAGGAGAGGAACAATTTATTTTGAGTAACATTAATATTATTATTATATTTTGTATATCAGTCAGTTTTGTTTATTATCCCTCCCTTTCTGTTGTCAAACCCTTTAAAAAAAATTTCTGATAATTGATATTAATAGAAATAATTTAACATTAAAGATACTGATTGAATAGGATTGTGGTTCAAGGTTTATTGGTTCTGATAATTCTTTGTACTTTTATTGTAAAAAAGGTCATGATATTGCCTAAAGTTCGGCCAGTTGTACAATGTTCGTATATCACTTGCTGTTTTAATATTTTCTGGCTTTCTTCAGTGGGACAAGGTATTAAAAAAAATTGAAAAAATTGAAATTTTTAATTAAAATGATGTTATGAAAGCATGGCTCAGTTTTCTGCCTTCAATTTGTTAGTATTCATCTAATTTGTGCCTTTATCTAGTTTATGCTAAAAGTAATAATTGTATTATATAGTAAAGCTTATTCTTTATTTTCTTTGCTTTATACGCGTAGGGGCATGGTTTGGTTAGGCATATATTTCTTTCTTAAAGCTATTAGTGTATCATATAATATTAGATATAATTGATTTTATTGTGAAAAACATGGAATAAAAATCAAATTAGGGATTAATTTAGGTCATTAGGACCATTGTTATAGTTAAAATAAGACCCAATAATTTTTTTATTTAGGTCTTGTTTTGTTAGTTATGACATTTAATGCTCTCTTTATTTCTCCTAGTTTTGCATTGATAGTGCTCTTTTTAATACATTTTCATACCAACACAGAATTTTTCAAACAATACAACATTATAAATGAACGAATCTTAATCAGTAAGAAGCTTGTGAAGTTTTTTTAGATTTGTTTAGGAACTAAAGATCAAACACTGAATGAATGCATGATGTGAAAATATTAATTCCAAAGACAGTTAATAAAAGACAGTTGAAAACTAATCATGACATTCCACGTGACAGTGAGCCTTATTTACTGCTAGTTCAGTAGTGCTAGTTAAACACAGCTCAGTTCTGCTGGTCTGTCAAATCTTGCTAGAGACATAATTTATTAGATGTCAAACTGACACTCCCAGTTTTCACTAGCACATGAATTGTCTGAATAGAATATTAGTTACTTTTTTTTAGACTACTTAAATATGTAACAGTTTCATTGTGTTCATGACCACCTTCTACATTGGGAATTCCTTTTTTGTCTTTCCATTACTGTTCAGATGTAAACCTAGCCTGTTGAAGTGCTTGTCTGCCAAATTCTATCAGCAAGGTGTTTATTTGAAACCTTACCTACTTATACTGAAAGGTTTAAGTGGTACAAAAGAATAAAATATTGGGCATATTGCTTGTAACAAGCACAGGCAGAGAGCTAGGGAAACCAAAATATTAATTTCATGTCACATTTTACAAGTTACACAATAAAATCTGTATGCCTATCACTGTGGTTTTTACCTCTTAAATATATACACCTGTATTTGCTTATCACATAACCAATGCCTTATATATGCAAATAAAACCTGTTTTCTTAATATGTGTCTTTGGTTTATTTGTTGCTTTCATGGAAAGAAATCCTCAAGAGACAGTTCCTTTGATAATTTCAACAGATGTTTGGAATTGCTGCCAAATCAATTATAAAATCAACAGAACAAGTTGACATAAAGGTGCAAGCAAACATCATGGGTATTTATATTTAATTCCTTTCAATGAAGAATGTTATTAAATTGACCTGTATTATTGATCACATACTTTTCACATCCAGATATGTGTGCAATTCAAAACATTAATACAAAGATCAAGTAACTGAATCAAGAGGTACTGAATATGCAGTTGACTTGTACATACTTGCATTTCCATTTATTCTACCCCGGGGCAAAATTGTTGGCTCAGGATCATAATTAAGAGACAAATCTGCTAACTGTGGGTTTAAGATCATTGACAATGTGATATAAGTACAGGTTGGTTGGTAGATGACAAGTTTACGTTCACGATATATGTACAGCTCCATATTTTCAGTTGTATCACTGGAAGCCTAATGTCAGATACCATGCAAAGTTAGAAATCAATTCAAAATAAAAGCAATAACAATCTTTTATTTAAACAAACAATAATAATTTACTCTGGTTGGGAAACTTCATGTGATATATCAAAAGGCTGATCATGTGGCAGAGATTCTGGGGCTTCTTGAAGCTCAAGCTGTTGTTGTTGAATCTGTAGCTGCTGAGATTGTAGACTAGCCTGTACTAGTAACTGAATAGCTTGATCATCAGCTACCATAGCCTGATCACTAGTCAGACATTCTACTTCATATTGGACCGTATCCCCAGTAAATACCACAGTATTATTATCATTTATAACAGGAATATCCGCTTCATTTAATACAATATCACTCTGTATAGTCACTTCTCCAGACTCTGTTAACTGAGCCAGAGTCGCAGCATCAATATATTGTAATATGGGAGCAGAGTGATCTCCCTCTAGTTTAATCTGAGTATCACTCACAGTATCACCTGTCTTACAATGTTGATTCTGTATATGTTTATGGAGGTATTCTTTCCGAGCAAATCCCCTACTACAATAGTTACATACATAGTTTTTCTCTTGAAGATGTGTTGAAGCAAAGTGTCTTTTAAAACTTCCTGCAATTTAAACAAAACACAAGCTAAATTTAGCGTCATTTCTATTATGAACGAGAAGATAGTTAGGTGGAAATGGACCATGTATTTTTTTTAAATTATTACAGGAACTGCATAATATACACAAGCCAAAAATTTGCATTGTCTGCAAATAGTATTTGTCTCATTCCGAATCGGTTCTTCTACTGAGTGATTTGGTCTAATAAAATATTTAATAAAGCAGCACCAGATTATGCAATTCATTGCTATGTTCAGTTCAATTCTAAAATTGTATATACCTAGTTCTAAAGATCAAACTTACTTTTGGAGGAGAATATCTTCTGACATTCATGACAAGAGAAAGTTGGTCTTATGTCTGGATGTTTACAAGCTTTATGAACTTTAAGTCTTGACACTGTTTGAAATGATCTGTTACATATATCACAAATAACAGGGACACCACCACCCTTCTCATGGGCTTTAAGATGATACTTCAATCCTTCCTTACGTTCAAATCCTCTTGCACATATATTACATCTGAAATTATATTCAAAAACTTTTTTTCTTTGATTACGTCATTATTAAAGGAATACTACGTAAAGGAATATATCAAACTTAGCCAATAACAGCATATTATCAGTAGATATACCTGGTGTCATAAATAACATAACAGGATCCTTATATAATCTGATAAATCCAAAAAACTAAAAGTAATTATCAATAAATATGCAATCAACAATTAAAAAACACTTATTTAATTTTCCAATAATTACTTTATAAATTTTCCAAATTTAAAGATTCTAGAGGGATTCTGTTGTAACTTTATGACACCAGGTAAGTTCACTGATGAATATATACTCATATTGACCATTATTGAGAATTAAATTTTATGTTCATTCTAAGACGTAGTATCACTGGAAGAAATCAATATATGTGCCTCTAGCAGAATTGTGTTTTAAGACTCCACTGGTTGATCTAGGTAGCTTGATTTAGCCAAGATAACAGGTCATTTTCTCATCTCTCCTTATCAGATCACACAATTACCATTTCCTCACAGCACTTGATGTGGATTATCAACATGTTCAGGTTCTATTTTATCTCTTAAGGTCTATGCATTAACAAATAAAATATAACCATTACTTAATTGACAGATCTTGTCTATGTTTTGACTCATCCTAGATATGTTTTCAACAATATAACTTACAGATAAGGTTGATCTCCAGTATGTTTTCTATGATGTAACTGTTTAGCTTTGATAGAAGTGAATCCTTTATTACAATAATTACAGAAATACGGCTTAGTTCCACTGTGTCTCATCATGTGAACTGAAATAATTCATTATTCCAATTAATCTATTCAATCATTACATGTATTACAGTAAAAACTGCAACATTAACAATTAAATTTCTTTATCAAGTTTTAATTAACTAAAAGTCAATAAAATCCAATGGTCAAGATTAAATGTAATCACTTTAACAGTATTATGTAGTGTAGATGTAGTAGATGTTACACACAATTTTCAGGTATATGTATATGTTATATAACTACAAGGACTCCTGAATTCTTCTATGTATATGGCAGATAAATGATCAGCTTTCAAGTTTCCACAAACCATCAACTATCTCATACATCCTGTCTTAAAGTAAAAATACACTTACATTTATATGCTACTTTACCACTAAATACAGCTTTACATATACTACATTCTCTCCAGGTACACTTAGTGCTGTTAATATTAGGCTTTACATCAATACTGGTTCTCTTCTTACAGTCTCTGGCAGTAGTGGAACATTTTGGAGAAGTGAAAGCCAATGTGTTAGTTGATGCATCATATGTCGCAGGAATCACCAGCTTATTGGGTTCCTCACGTTCTATTTTAATTGGTACAGGTAATCGTACTGGTACAAGTGATTCAAGGTGAACTGTTTGTTTAGGTTCTTCAACAAAAGCCTGTACTGGCAGTTGTTCAACTTGTTTAAACTCTGACTCTGCTGAAACTGGATCTCTCAGCTCTTGAGTACTACTATCATTAGGTGGATGTGAAGTTTCAGTGATATTTTCCACTTCAGTGATCGGGGGTGGTGATACAATGGTATTTTCACCGTCATCAACATTTTCCTTCTTTTTGATAAGATCATCAAGAGACTGAAAACGAGAAAATGAAATATCACCATCAGACGTAGTCTCATTGGTAAGGTTTCCCTTTTAGAATAAAGACAAAATTTACTAAATTATATGATGCCAATGCAATTGTTTGAATTTGAAATTATTTTTCAGATCATTAAGATATTATTTTACAATTGAAACCAAAATTTTGATGTAATCTTTGTGTTGATATTTGGATTTGGATTCTGGAATAATCAGCATTTGTGCAAGACCCTTTTTTTATTATCGGCTTGATTGGTAATTTTGCACATTTGCAATTCATGTTATGAACCAGATGTTCAATAAAATGCGTTGGAACAGGGTTTATAATGTATAATACATTATGTATTCCACGTGTGCCAAAAAAACAGGAGGTGCAGACAGAATTTAAAATGGTGGAGAAAAGAATAGAAGGGTAAATTTTGTATGTGACATAATCTGGTTCAGCACCATGTTCAATGAAGAATTGGAACAGATGGAACTTGTTCAGAGCTCACTAATCAAGCTCTATCTATGTTTTTGATACATAACAGTAACTATCGCTGTTTCTTTGAGAATTTAGTCTAAAGATACTTACGCCATTATTAAAATATATACTAAATTTATCTTTTCTGTCTTCAATAGCATGTTTGGTTGTTTTAGATTCTGTTTCTAACTTCTCAGTAACTAAACAACATTGACTAATATATCTATATACATCATTAGTCTGACCAATCCAATAATAGTTTGTTTTAACTGTATCCTGAGTTTTATTTAACCCCAGATGGTGACCTAAATTGAAAATTCATTCAGAATAAATAAATGGTTTTAAAGATTATATTGCAGTTCTTTTCCATGTACAAATTATTAATCATAAATGTTGATCAATATGCCACACAAAAGAGCATTGTGAAGTAATATCTATATGATTTATGCAGAATTGTACAATGTTTTGGTTTAAATGATATTTAATTCATTTCAACTTTACATTTTCAACAGAATGTAAATAAGATTTCCGATATACACCATACAATATTCTGGTATTTCGTTTCGCAAAATATTTGCAATATAATTGCCATTTTTTTTGCCATAAATTTGGATAAAACATTGGATATATCAGGAATATTGTGACCTCCAAATTGCCTGCCTGGAGTTATATTCACTATTGTGCAAAATTAAGAGAATTGATATTTACCACTATCTTTAATGATATGCGCATCTTTAATAGCTGTTCTTTTTTCTTCAGAAGTAAATAAACAGAGTCGTGGTTTATGAGATGGTTTATGTTGGTAATATAATAAACCATCTTTCTTCATATAGTTGGCAGCTTTACGTCGTAATGTTGTTTTCCTCTTCTTGTCATAGTGTGTAGGATATGATTTATTATCTAAATATTCTCTAATAATATCACTGTTTATTTCTTCTTCCTGTATAACAATCAAGATAAAATCTCAAATTATAGCATATTAGAGAGCAAGAGCAATTTCCTACATGGATTACAAGGACTTAACGTTTCTTGTGGAATTGAAGACGTCACAGACCTCTGATTGAAAATTGGAATGGTGCAAATTGATGCATCCGATATTGTCTCTGATACACATAATGTTTTTTAGAAAACCTAATTACAATCCATGAAATGAGCTCTAGAAAATATTGCGAGTCTTGGGAAATAAACTAACCTTTAATTTTTCCACATCCTTCTCTTCTATTTCCACTGATTCCACTTTTCTAATATCTCCATTATTACACTGAGGACAGGCTCTAACAAACGCTTCACAATCTAATGTTAATCCTCTCCAATAATATTCCATAGCAGAAATACAATCTATTACTTTACGTTTACATAGATGGGTTCCTGTGTACATACAAAACATGGTATGAATAAGATATAACCTTAATCAAGCTTTTTTCAATATGTCTATTAACAATGTTAACAATAACAGCAATTGGACAGTCTACAGCTCTACCATAAATATGACTAGTGACAATGTGAGAGCAACATTTTTCCATATATTGATGATAGTTTGCTGCATTAAATAATCGAATGTGAAATTCAGCATTAATCATTGATCCTTGAGCAAAGTTATGGCTTCACGATATATGATATATTTGTGTGTAAAGTGGGATTGCCAAACTGTGGATGCGCATTATACTGGAAATTATACAGTAAACCAAAATCCTTACCTTCATCATCAACATGAGCTCTAGCCATCAACCTCACTCTTTCCTCTTCACTGATAATAATTTCTTTCTCTCGATGTTTAGATGTAGCTTGGTAATATAGATGATCATTTTCTAGGCGGAAATTAGTGATAGCCTTGCAGTTGGTTTTAACTTTACCACTCGATTGTTGTTTCTCTAGGTAATATTTTACTCCATTATAATATTCTTCTGTTTCAAGCTGGAAAATAACACTCAACAGTTTGAATTGACCACTTTAGAATTCCAGACAATTTCTTTGAAGCTGAATCTATCTTTATTAGTGAATGAATAAATTTTATTAAAGAAGTGCACTTATTCCATGAGTGTCTTGTGTTTGTGATTTGTAGGCCTTCTCCTCACTTCTAAATGTTGTTCCAGTTTTATATGAAAGATTCTTGGGTGAACCTCTTTACTTCCAGCATTTTACAATGATTTGTCAAGTGTAATAATACTGCGACCTTCTCAGACTTACTATATTTTGACTACTGATTAAGAAATTATACATTGTGTTATGAATTTGAATCCATATCTTACTAAGTTATTGTTTTTATGGCAAACACAAGTAATCAGAAACAACCATCCTCTAATATTTACCAGAAATACGGCCTGTACATCCTGTACAAACTATTGCTCCTTTGTTTTGGTTAACCAATAGAAGAGGTAAATACTAATCATAGCTAATTTGCCTCTATTAAAAATTAAACCTTTTTATCATTTTTTTAAATTTAAATAAAAAAAAACTTACCGAAGAAATAGATACATTAAATTTATCATGTCCTTGATCTTCTGTAGAAATTGATCTTTTTACCTGATATGGAAAATAAAACTCAAAAATTGAAAATAGATGCCACATTTTCTAATGATACCAACAAAATATGATATGGGCATCACTCGAACAATTAAGTTTCTATATTTTCTGATGGTAAACAACGTTATGTTAACTCATGTATATAAAGTTTTAAATCGCATGGCTTAAAATTTGCATATTATAACTTTTCATTCCTTAATAACCTTATTTTTTTTTCAATTACATGTATTACCTTTTGAGGGCTATTATTTGATTTTGAGGACCTTCTATTTTTCCTTGAAATCTGAACTTTTTCTGTTCTCGCTTTCTGAAATAATCAATATGAAGGAAAAATCAATGGAAGCATTAAATCTATAAATCTAAGCAAAAATATATCAAAATAAAAATCTTCAAAAGCAAATTTCGAAATGTTTGAATATATTTAGGACCGTGAAAAAAAGTAACCTTTGCAGGTGTTGACTTCATTGGAAATTTACGTTTTTTCAGCAAACATGACCAGTCTTGTTTGATACCACGTAGACTTCGTCTTGTGTTTGAAACAGGGTTCGGTTTACTTTCAACCTCTGGTACATAATCTTTATCATCATCACTATCCACTGGTGGCTCATTTTCATGAGTTACACAATCTCCATCCTCATCAGACATCACATTATCACATGCTGACACTTTATTCTCAACAGTTACTCTTTCTTCTTTTTTTACCTCCCCTTTTTCATTTGAAACATGTTGAATTTTCACCTGTCTGTTATTTTTCCTCACATTTACTTTCTTATTAAAAACTTGACTTCTTCTGCTTCTTCGTGGTGAAGGTGATTCTTCATTTTTGTCAAGACTTTTCTCCTCGCCATCATTAGTACACATTTTGACCTCTTCAGTAGAATCGTTGACCTTTGAAACAAGATTCTGATCACTGCTGTCTGCAGATGTATTCAGTTCACCTCTTCTCTTCCTTGAGTTTCTTGTGACTGGACTCATAGTGACTTCTTTAGGTTCACCAGTAACACTTTCTGTTTTGGGCAAATCTTCATTATCTTCATTTTGTGATTTAATATGTTCCCAATGAACATTGGATTCTGGTAGCTCTGCAGGGTGTTCATTCATTGCAATATCTGAATATTGAGCAGGTGCTTGTTCTATGGATTGATATTCATCACAATCATCTTCGTTTGGTGTGTCTATATTTTCTAGCTCTTCAGAC